AGCTGAGCCCAACGCATAATTACAAGTCACCTGTGACATGCATAGACTCCTAGACTATCAGTGTAACTGTGCCTCAAACAGGGAAAACTCAGGGGTGCCTGGGTGGCACAGGTGGCCCTGAGCTTCGGACTCTTGGTTTCAGCTCAGTTCCTGATCTCAGGGTCGTGGGATCGAGCCCTGCATTGGGCTTTGTGATCAGTGAGGAGTCTGCTTGAGTTTCTCTAACCCTCTCCCTCTGCCCCTCCCCACCCCCTGCCACTGTGTGTGCACGCACGCACACACACACACACACACACACACACACACACACACACTCTCTCTCTCTCTCTCTCTCTCAAATAAATAAATCTTTAAAAAAGAAAAACAGGTAAAAATGAAATCCCACTGGGCTTTCTTCTGCTCCCACAATGCTTCTACTACATTTTACTTATTTGTGAATTTCTACACTGACATAATTTCACATTTACTAAAGTTTGCAAAAAACAGTATGGAGAACTCCTGTACATTTTCCCCCCTCAGATCCACTAATGTTTAAAATTTTATCATATTGTTTTTTCCTATTTGTATGTATATATTTTTTAAAGATCCTATTTATTCCTAAGAGACACAGAGAGAGGCAGAGACATAGACGGAGAGGCAGGCTCCCTGCAGGGAGCGCGATGCAGGACCCAATCCCAGGACCCTGGGACCTGGACCTGTGTGACCGGATCACAACTGAGCTGAAGGCCGATGCTCAACTACTGAGCCACCAAGGCATCCCTTGTATGTATATTTTAAGGACAAATACAAATAAAAAACAAGAAACTTAATTTTCCCTGTTGACAGCAAGGGAAGAGATTTCTCTCCCATCCTTTTTCTTAGAGCATTATGCTTTAAGACGTTTGTAAGTTGTTTCTCTGTCTCTTTGAAATGTGTGTAAGGTCTTTCTTTTTTAAGATTTTGTTTATTTGAGAGAGAGCCAGAGAGAGAGAGAGAGCCAGAGAGAGAGAGAGAGAGCGCACAAGCCTGGGGAGCAGCAGAGGGAGAAGGAGAGATAAAATCTTAAGCAGACTCCACGCTGGCCTCGGAGCCCCACGTGGGGTGGGATCCCAAGACCCTGAGATCATGACCTGAGCCAAAATCACAGGTTGGATGCTTAACTGACTGAGCTACTCAGGAGCCCCAAGAGTGTGTTTTTTAGAAGCAAAATCAACCTCTTGCCAGCTTTATTATCAATAAACATCTTTCTCAAAGACCTGGGAGATATCTCTTTAAAATGGACACATCGGGGATCCCTAGGTGGCTCAGTGGTTTGGCGCCTGTCTTTGGCCCAGGGCGTGATCCTGGAGTCCCAGGATCGAGTCCCACGTCGGGCTCCCCGCATGGGGCCTGCTTCTCCCTCTGGCTGTGTCTCTGCCTCTCTCTCTCTCTCTCTCTCTCTGTGTGTATGTGTGTGTGTCTCATGAATAAATAAATAAAATCTTAAAAAAAAAGAAATAGACACCTCAAGGGGGAGAGCACCTCTGTCTTCCAGTTTCCATGGGAATGTAGGGGCCTAACTTCGCTGCGCACCTTGCTCTCAACTACACAACGACCTCCTGCCATAAAGATATGAAAGATTTGTTTTTCCTCTGGATAAAGACAATTAGCTAATACAGATGGCCACCCAAATTACGAGGTGAATCGAGGACGAATCTGTGACAGATGGCCCCGTCAAGTCCTCTTACCCAAGAATTAGTTATTGTTCATCAGGAAACATGTATGTAATGGACCGAATCTGCTTGGCTATAGAAAAAGGTGAGATTTCCTTCTACCTCTGCAATCTCTTACTGGATAGCCCATGACATGCATGACATTCCATTTTAATGCTTGTTCAGTAATAAAGCTGTTTTCTTTCTCTACTACCATGTGTAGGGATTTTCTGGGTTGGGTGAAGATTTTGTTTTTAATTATATTTCCCCACAGCAGACACATGTTATTTCTTTTTTCTGAACCATTTGAGAGCAAGCTGCATATACCATGCCCCCTTTCTCTTAAATTTTCAGTGCATATCTCCTAAGAACATTCTCCCAAGAAACCACAGAATTTTCCTGACAAAATTAAGGAAATTAAATATTGATATAAGTACTTTTATCCGGGCAGCCCGGGTGGCTCAGCGGTTTAGCGCTGCCTGCAGCCCAGGGCCTGATCCTGGAGACCCAGGATCAAGTCCCATGTCGGGCTCCCTGCATAGAGCCTGCTTCTCCCTCTGCCTGTGTCTTTGCCTCTCTCTCTCTCTGTGTCTCAATAAATAAATAAGTAATCTTTAAAAAAAAAAAAGTACTTTTATTCAATCTACAGTCCATGCTCCAATTTTGTCAGTTGTCCCAATCATGCCCTTTACAGCACTTTTCCTCCAGGGTAGGGTCCAGTATAGGATCACATCTGGTCCTGAATGTCATGTCTTGTTCATCTTTATTTGGAGCAGTACTTCTGTTTTCTGTCTTTTATTGCCATTTTTTTGTTGCCTTTATTTATTTATTTATTTATTTATTTATTTATTTATTTATTTATTTATTTATTTTTGATTATTGCCATTTTTAAAGCATATGGGCCAACTCTTTAACAGAACATCCTTCGATTTGGGTTGTGTGATGGTTCCACATGATTCGATTCAGATTCTTACATAGCAAATCTGGTTTCCTCTCTGCCTCGCATCTATTTCCTCATCCCAAGGGAGATTTCCAAGCAAACCTCACACAGTATCATTTCATCCATAAATACCTCATTCGTTGCACTGTAGTTGGATTTATTCATTTTGGGGTCTTAGCATTACTAGATCCTGTTTAAAAACCCTATAAGTTCTGTTAATTTTTCTCTAAAAAAAATTAATAGAAGAGCTCACTGGAACTGAGTACCTGTGTAGTGTGGGGTAGAGAATTTTGGGGGCAGAGTGATTAAAACCCCCCAAAATTGGTTCTCTATCTTGATTGCTGTGGTGGGTTACACAACTGTGTGCATTTGTCAAAGCTCATAGAACTGTCCAAGAAAGAGGGTGACCCGTACTCCACGTAAGTTATACCTTCATAAGCCTCACTTCAAGCCATCATGAGGAAAAAGAAGTTAAAACCATAGTGAGAGGATATGGACGTGCCATAGGACATAGGAGCTGACTCGGCAGCCATTTCCTTGTATTTCCTTAGTGGGGGACCCATCTCTTCTCCACTCTCAGCCCATGTAGGTTAGGGGCTGATCATCCCACCTCTGGCCTGGCCACACCTCCTGTGCTCCATGCTCCCCGGCCACAGTGATTGGCTCAAGTTTAGGTCCAAGACTTACACAAACAGCATGTTCCAGTCCTGGGATGACACACGACCAAAGTGGAAAATGGAACTGAAGCTGTGGGATGGAAGCCCAGGAGCTGCTGGGGGCCAGCAGGAGGGGGAGCCTAGCAGAGAATGAAGCCTACTCAGGACGTAAGAAGCAACAGAAGAGAGAAAGAGAGCAGTGAGCTCTGAGGACGTGTTTTAAGCTTCTAGCTCCAGCTGTGCCTAAAGTCCACCTTTGGAATTACCAGTTATGAGTCATACATTCCCGTTTTGCTTAATTCAGCCTGAGTTAGTTTATCACTGAAGGAGTGAGCACAGTCAGTCAGGCCAGCAGCCAGTCAAGTGACCAGGGATTGTTTTCCAGCAGGCACTTTGCTAGGCAGTCTGAAGGAAGGAACCAGAATGGGAGTCAAATGCCTGGCCTGATGCTTGAGGTGATGGAAACCAGATAGAGCGGGTGAGTGCACTTGACAAGAAAAGGACAGAAAGCCTCGGGTCTCTGATCTCAAGGATCTCCCGGTTCACCAAGATGAGAGACAATTAAACAAACAAATGGCCTTTGACACAATGTGTGATAAATCCCTAAACATCTCCTCATTCTAAGTAACGCGTTCCCTTGATTCTAACATGTGCATTTCCCTCCCCACATTCTGACATCTCTGAAGGTCGAATATGCCTTGCCATCAGTGGCTCCTTAAGGTGGTGCTCGGCCAGGAAGCATTGATACTGTCCTTGTCGGTTCCCTGGGTGACCCTGAGCACAGCTGGTCTACTGCCAAGCCTTCAAATGCAATTAGGTACCAGGCATGCTCACGGAACTGCCCTTCTAAATGTCTTTTGCAAGATTACACTGTGATTCAGCACTGGAGTGAAAAGGTGGTTCCCGGGCACACAGGGCCTGGGGCAGAATGGCAAATGGAAATCTGACATCAGTACAGATAATAAGAAACCCCAGAAGTCGGACTGCAAGTCAGTCCACATCTTCCTGCAGAGGAATAACCACGTGCTTTATGGAAAAAGAAGCAAATGACACGAGGCAGCTTTCAGACTGTGTTATTGTGTGGACAAAGACAGAAGGCAGGTGTGGAGCAGACACCTGGCCCCTGAAGAGGAAGGGGTTAGAGGGTTCCTACAACTGTATGTGGCTTCCGTTTCCCTTTTCATTTCTACACAAGAAGGTGTAGGACAGGAATCGAGGTCTAAATACATCTAAAGGAGAGCTTTTTTGGATAAGAAGTATAAGTGGTAAGTAAGGATGGTTATGATTTAATAGGCATCATTTATCTTTTCCTTTCCAAGTGGCACATAACACAGTGAGGCCCCCTAGAATTGAGTGTGCTCAGAGTCACTGATTTCTGCTGAATGCTTATTACGGGACGGGGTTCAGGAGGGCAAGCATACAGGTGCACTGTCGAAAGTTCTCTCCATACACAGATCACAAGGTATAAAGGGCGAAATATTGTATAAAGGAAGAGCTACCATATGGGTGCCCAGACGGCTCAGCTGGCTGAGCGTCCCACTCTTGATTTCAGCTCATGTCATGATCTTGGGGTCCTGTGATGGAGCCCTGTGTCAGGATCCGAGCTCAGCGGGGAGTCTACTTGGGATTCTCTTTCCCTCCCTCTCTGCCCCTCTCCTCATTTACTCTCTCTCTCTCTCAAATAAATACACACATCTTAAAAAAAAAAAAAGGAAAAGCTGGTGCATTACTTACAGGGTCCAGGGGTTTGGATCGTGCCCAGGTCATCACCGTAGATACTAAAATAAACACCTTCCGCTTCTCAAAGTGGTTGACTTCTTCTTTCAGTGCTGTAGGGCCAAAAAATGGAGCAGTTACTTGGATCTACAAAGTCCTCGTTTTCTCAGTCACATGTGGGACCTGGAATTAAGAGAGGTGTCACCTCTGTGCTTCCCTGACCCATCCCCCTGCCCTCACTGTTCTCGGCATTCTCTTCCCAGCCAGCTGAACTCTTCTGCACCCAGCTCACACGTGTAGCCCTCCTTTCTGCCTCCTGGCCGGTAGCAGTGTGCTTCTACTTCTACGGGGTGCCAGTGGGAGTATGGATCCTAGCTGGTGTGGACCGGAACACTTCTTGGGCTTGACTGCATCCTTACCGTCATGAGATAGGTGCTACTATCATGTCTGTTTTACAGATGAGGGACCTGGGGTGCAGTTTGCCCAGATCTATGGAGGAGAGGTAGGGGCACAGTCTGATCCAGGCAGCCTGGTGGCAAGGGCGGTGCTCTCCCCACTAAGCCCAACAGTCAGCCAGCTGCGTGGAGAATGGACCAGGAGGCTCTAGGGGTGTGGGGATGCAAAGGCCCCAATTCAGAAGATAAGACCCCCTCCCTTACGATTTCACAGAAAGCAGTCCTGTGTAGCTTGTGATGTTGCAGAAGGAAGGAATTGTGGGTGCGCCCACCCTTCCCACTCCACTTGGCCAGGGGAAGGGAGCCCATCAACCGGCCCTGTGGACTGGGGCCGGAGGGCCTTTGGTAGGATGGGGATGGGTGATGATGAGCATTCTGTAGAACAGTGTTCTGTAGAACAGTGGTGGACAGAAGGACGAGCACTTGATTTCTAGAAGGTTTATCACCTCCCAGGGGTGGGGGGGGGGTGGCTCTCCACACACGGAACCATTAAGTCTCCTTAAATACTTTCGGCATGTGATTCCATTACAATATTTTTCATGACATATGATTTTCCAGAAGAAAAGATCTAAAAGGGAGGTCTAATTAAATTGTCAGAGGAGCTGAGGGACACGGTTGTCATGGCACAATTGTATTCTCATGAGCTGACTCCCTATAGAATCAAAACAATAAAGTCCTGATATCTTGAATCTAATAAGCTCGTGGATTCTGATCCTAAGTTGAGAATACGTTACTGGCTAAAGCGCAAGAACACCACGTCCACAGATTCATCTCCGACTCAAATGTTAATTTTAGTTCCAGTTTCATCTCATTAACTAAAATGGCCTCTTCAATTTCATTTTGCCCTTTTACCCTTTCTGCTCTACTGTGCTCCAGCCTGGCCTATTTTGTGACTGCTTGGCACACTTAGAGGTCCTCAAAATGGGTTATCCTTTCCTTTATGAACATTTTAATGGGCCTAAAATAATCTCCTTGTTCACTTGTGAGCAAGCACATTTTATCCTTATATGCAAATGTTTGCTCTTATTTCTAATACTTTATCCCCTTCTCCTGTGTCATTTTGTCTTCCTTTAATAGCATCGGTGAAAGGCAAGGTCAGAGAATCCTTTTATATTAAAACATTTTAGAATTACTTAATAAAACATTATGAAGAAGTAATACATATCCTTTGCAAACAACAACAACAGCAACAACAACCCACAACACACAGACAAAGAAACCCCAAACAAAAAACACACCCCAAATCTAAGAATGTGCACACTAGGTCAAACGACAAAATTCCCAAAGTGCCACCAAACCCACCCCCCCAGGTGACCCTGATGGCAGATTGAAGGCCTCTGACTGTCCTTTCTTGCAGACATCAACACTCTGTATCTCAGAAATGAGGTAAGACAGTTAAAACCTCTCCACCAAACAGAGAAGTAAAATTTTCTTAATTATTTAAAGCTCTTTATTAGAAAGAAGAAGGAGGCGGTAAAACACAGTCTCCATTTTAAAGCTCATGAAAGGAGATGCAGCGTCAAAGTCTGGGAAACCATTATGTTCCCTCGAGGAGCAGTGGGGGGCCTATGAGGAGCTGAGGCTCATCTGTTACAGCAGGAGGGCAGGGGCTAATGTCTAAAATTCATAATCAGAGGACAGCAGTGCAGGCATTTTTATGCATTAAAAGGTACACGTTGGTTAAATGAGGTTCCTTTTGGGGCATAGGGATGGGGTGAAAGGGAAATACAAGGAGTCGTACCTTTTTAGTCTAAGCCCTATTGTGCTTTTTATTTATTTTTATTTTATTTAAATATTTTTTTGAGAGACACAGAGAAAGAGCACGAGTGGGAAGGGCAGAGGGAGGAGAGAGAGAGAGAGAATCTGTAGCAGACTTCTCTCCCTGAGCATGGAGCCCGACGTGGGGCTCAATCTCACAACCCTGAGATCACAACCTGAGCTGAAACTAAGACTCAGATGCTTAACTGACTGCACCACCCAGGCACCCCAGCCCTACTGTGCTTTTTAATTTTCAAAACATGTCCAGCTTTTATTCCAGAAAAAACATTTTTTTAATTGCAAGAATATATTATATGGAAAAAATCAATTTTCGAAGCCTGACGCAACATCAGAACTCAATAAACGTGAGCTCTGATTATGATTTTAAATGGTGCAATTCTTTTAGAAGGTGCAATTATAATCATCTGTAAATATCTGCAAAGGGACAAAATGCAGAAAGTAGGCTTTCAAAAAAAACCTCTGCTTCAAAAGATGATACAATGCTCACATTTTTGATTTGCTTCTCACTGGATGAAATCTAGGCACAAAGTCACAAAAGGGACATCAAGCATTCTCAGCTCCTGAGGAATCCCACACCTCCGCACCCACAAGACAGCACTTTTCCATCATTTCCCTGAGTGCGGTACACGTATTCCTGAGGCTCCTCCATTTCTTTGAATTTAAGCCAAAATATTGCTTCCCTGTTGATCTCATTCAAGGGGCGGCAAAGTCCTGCCTCTTTTTATAATATAAAGTTTTGTTGGAACCTAGCTGCATATCCTCGATGGCTGCGTTGCTACAACGGCACCGTACTTGGCTCGAAGGGCCAAAAATATTGATTTAGTCTCTGGCCCTTGACAGAAAGCGTTTGCTGACCTCTGATCTAATCCGCCTGGAACAAAAATGCTGATGTGCATAAAACACTGAAATGTAAGGTGGCCCTGTGTCTTTTTGGCTGGCCCGCTGGTCTAGAAGGGTGATCCAGATAAGCCACTTTGCTTTCTCCTTTGCTCCCAACTTAATCAGGAGATGAATTGTCACAGCAACAAATGGCCAAACGTCACCTTGCTGTCTTAGACCTGCGGGCCTTAGAGGTCATGACAGTTTTGAAAGCATTCTAGAAATGCTAACACTCCCCCTGGGCCCTCTCCTGGCCCTTGCTACCAGGGGACCCCCGCTGAATTGAATCAAATCCTGTCTTGTTAAAGGCACATCCCTCGTGGATCTGTTTCTTGAGAACCTGCAGTTCTCTGTCCTGCATTACAAGTCCCCTGCGTGTGCCTCAGCTCTCCCACGGGACTGCAGGCACTTGGAGGGTGGAAGCTGTCTCATTTGTCCTGGTGTCTTCCCAATGCATTCAACCCCGCGGCCTTAAGCAAGGGCCGCAGAATGAACAAAGGGTGAATTTTGAAAGTTACGGTTTCATTTCTTTTTTTAATTTTTTAATTTTTATTTTTTTAATATTTATTTATTTATTTATTTATGAGAGAGAGAGAGAGAGAGAGAGAGAGAGAGAGAGAGAGGCAGAGACACAGGCAAAGAGAGAAGCAGGCTCCATGCAGGGAGCCTGACGTGGGACTCGATCCCGGGTCTCCAGGATGGCGCCCTGGGCCAAAGGCAGGCGCCAAACTGCTGAGCCACCCAGGGATCCCCTATTTCTTTTTTTTTAGGATCAAAACGATTCCATTCTTGGGAAGCATGCATCGTTTCATTAATTCAACAAGGGGCCATGAAGTCTCGGCTGGCTCTGAGGCTGTGGCAGTCCAGGTAAGCAAACCAGAACCCAAGACTGTAAATGCCGCAAGGTTAGAAAATCAAAACTTGAGGACCACTAACCACGATAGCCAACTAGGCTCTTCCAGGTGGGGCAAATGCTTAAGCTATACCCAAATAATTCTCTTGCTTTGCAATGCCTTTGCTCTGCCAGTGTTTCCCCCGGCTCCTGCTGGAGCGCTCCTAACCACTTCCAGAGTGGCGTGCCCTCATGAATCGATTTGTGCTCAAATAAACTCTTGAAGACTTTCATATGCCTCAGCTTCTCTTTTTTTTTTTTCCCCAATATTTTATTTATTTATTCATGAGAGACACACAGAGAGAGGCAGAGACACAGGCAGAGGGAGAAGCAGGCTCCATGCAGGGAACCCAATGTGGGACTCGATCCCGGGACTCCAGGATCATGCCCTGGGCCAAAGGCAGGTGCCCAACCGCTGAGCCACCCAGGGATCCCGAGGTTCTCTTTTTACGCTATCCAAAGGCATCTTCATTAGCCTAATTTCATTTCACATTTTAGATAAGTCTCAGATCGGTTTTCTCATGCTCCTAATTTGCCTCGTGGTCATTAGATGGCTCTTAGGTTAAATAAGTTGCCGCAAAGCAGGGTCCCTGGTGACAGAAGGGAGCGGTTCACTGACCAGAGACTGCCCAGATGGCCTCCTCAGCTTGCTGTGGGTTCTCAGTGATGTTATAAACAATGACGTCACACTCCAGGAGGCGCATGAGGAGGTCTTCCCGAGAGATGATCTGAAAAAGAGAATTGACAGTCGTTTGTTGCAAGGAGCCCATCTTAATATTTAGTCAGAATGACAACTTTCAAATTAGATTCACTGCAGATGGAAGTGTCCTACAGGAAACATTCGCAGGATTTCTATTTAGAATGAAATGTTGGCTCTCTGCTGTATGTAGTTTCCAAGTAACAAATAAGTCTATGAAAATAGCTGGGAACAGATGATTAAAAAAAAATTGCACGATGATCTTAGGTACTATTTCTGCGGGCTGTTGAAGCTCCAATTCCGAAGGGAAGGATTACAACACACTGGAAGAAAATGTGTGAGGCGTTTGAAACTAACTCCAACTCTAGGCAAGATTGGTTGAGCCGTTATATATCATGAATCATTCGGAAGTGCCGATGAGTGATTAATGTGGATTGTTGCACAGTCCTCAAGATGGAATTAATCCGTCCCTCTTAGTAGAGGTAAGGTGCCTTATGACAGTTGACAGTGGGGAATATTTTAAAAATATGGAAACTTTTAATGGGTAAAAATATAAAGTTCTTACATTAGGCAAAAGTAACTTTGGTGATCATTTGTGTTTTGAGTAGTCACTCCTTCCTACGTGGATGCCAGCACGGTCCCTAGGACTCCTGCACCATGGGCAGGTATTACCGGAACCGGAACCGTAAGAGGATCCTGCATTTCCAAATCAGGATTTGCATTTGCTATTATTTCAGATACCGGGAGGATCAGAGATGCCCCCACAGTTCTTTGACCGGTTGCATTAAAGCAGAACATTTCAGATCAGACGTGGTCTCTCACCACATACCTTGGTTAGAGAAGCAAAGTGAATGCCTTTCCATATAAAGAGAGGACCACCCTGGCAGGGTTAATGCATCCCTGCTAAACCCACTGCTGCAGACAGCCAGGTTCCCCAGCCCGGTTCCCTAAGGCCTTTTGCATCTAGCTGTACTCACTCCTGAGGGCTGCTGTCACTTAGTGTCACAAACGGAGTGGCTTAAACAACAGAAATCCATGTCCCACAGTCTGGAGGCTGCAAGTGTTGCTGTTTGTGATTGTAAGGCTCCAGACAGCTGCAGCCTTGCTGCCAGGCTGCAAATGAAGTCACCCTTAGAGGAAGGCAGAGCCCAGGATGGGGCAGGAAAAGCAGCAGCCGCCCCTGGATCATGCCAGCCCTGAAGCTGTATCTTTCTTTAGACCACCAGCCACATAAACTGAAGAATTTCCTTATTTACTAAGCCAGTTTATGTTGCCTTTTTCCACTAGGATTTGCAACCCCAAACAGCCCAAACTGTTACAGAGAACAAGGTCTTGAATAAAAATGAGGAGGAAGGCACCTGCCTGGCTCAGTCGATTAAGCATCTGCCTTCGGCTCAGGTCATGATCCTAGGGTCCTGGGATCGAGTCCTGCATTGGGCTCCCTGCCCAGTGGGGAGTCTGCTTCTCCTTCTGTCCCTAAACCCTGCTCATGCTGTTTTTCATGCTCTCAAATAAATAGATAAAATCTTTTTAAAAAAACTAAATAAGAACAAGGAGGCTAAAAGACAGAGTGGTCTTGCAGAGGAGTATAATAAATTTGATTTGGGGTACGCTGATTCAGAAGTGCCGACAGGACTCCTGGGGGAGGGCGCCAGAGGGCAGCTGGGTTTGGAGGTCAACAGAGCTGGCGACAGATTTGAATGGCATTGCTTCCTATAGGGGCACTGAAGCCATAGGACTGGATAAGATTTAGGAGGGATGTCCATTAGGAGAAAGGAGAGCGCTGTGGGGAAAACTGAATCTAAAGGGGGCCTCCGGGGATGCCTGGGTGGCTCAGTGGTTGAGCGTAAGCCTTTGACTAAGGGTGTGATCCCAGGGTCCTGGGATCGAGTCCTGCACTGGACTCCCTGCAGGGAGCCTGCTTCTCCCTCTGCCTGGGTCTCTGCCTCTTTCTCTGCATCTCTTATGAATAAATAAAATCTTTTTCTTTTTCTTTTTTTTTTTAAAAAGCAGCCTCAGATGCACAAGGGAAGTCAGGGTGCAAAAGGGAAAGGGAAGGAGACTTTCTCCTGGAAGCCAGGGAAGACAGGACTTTGGGAATTAGGAGCTCACTGGTGACACTGGCCAGGGCCTTTCCTGTGATGTGGTAGGGACAGAGCCTGATGGCACTGGGCTGACAAATGGCCGGGGAGTGCAGGAGTGAGCCAGGCAAGGGTGCAGCAGTGGCAAGGGCCGGGGGCCAGGAGGCAGAGGAAGAGGCCTGTAGCCAGCAGGGAGGCCAAATGCTATTTTCAAAGGGCTGATGGTTATACTCTGTGCGACCCCAATAGACAATAACCATGAAGGGTGACACGTGTGATGATGTAGGCGGGTAAAGCTGCTATGGGAGTACAAGAAAAGAGCTCAGTAGCCAAACGAGGCATGGGGAAGAAGCGGGAAACACTGAGGGCTTCCTGGAGGAGGTGACATCCTGCGTGCAATCTCGATGAATAGGCCCGGGGTGGGGTTGGAAGAGGACAGGCTGTTGCAGGATGCGGTGCGTGCAAAGCCGGACGGTAGGGTCTGAAGAGCGGCAGGCAGGGTGATGAGAGGTGTCTCTTCTCATCCTCTCAGGGATATCTAAATGTCTCATGAGGAGGATTGTGTTGCATCTGTCACGGGGAAGCAGTGACACCGCTGGAGAAACGTAAAGATGGGTGGAAATTTAGATGGACATACTAGTGCTTCAGCAAGGCTTGTTTTTTTTTTTTTCAAGATTTTATTTATCTATTTATTTATTTATTCATTCATTCATTCATTCATTCATGGGAGACACAGAGAGAGAGAGAGAGAGAGGCAGAGACACAGGCAGAGGGAGAAGCAGGCTCCTTGCAGGGAGCCCGACGTGGGACTCGATCCTGGGACTCCAGGGTCACGCCCTGGACTGAAGGCAGACGCTCAACCACTGAGCCACCCAGGTGACCTTTTTTTTTTTTTTTTTTTTTTAAGGCTTGGCTTTAGACTGAACATTTTTCTCTTCTTCATTCTTGCAGCCTCCCTCCCCCCCCTTTACTTGCTTTTCTATAGAATCCTTTGTTCCAGGAACTTGGTATCGATATTGACGTCCTGTTGACCTCAACGTGTACTTAGCACCGAGACTGGCGCCAGCGCTGTCAGGAGACCACCTTGACAGGAGGAGGCAGGCTGGCAGCCCCGACCCGACCCTTCACATGCTCTGTTTTCCTGTAAAACCTCTCAGCCTTTTGCCCCCAGTGGGTCTGCAGGGTTTTTTTTCCATTTTTTCAGGTTTTTATTTAAACTCCAGTTGGTTGACATACACTGTAAAATTAGTTTCAGGTGCAGGATTTCGTGATTCATCACTTACATGTGACACCCAGTGCACATCATGGCAAGTGCCTCCCCTTAACGCCCGTCACCCAGTTATTCCATCCCTCCACCCACCTCCCCTCCAGCAACCCTCAGTTTCTCTTCTATAGTTAACAGTCTGTTTTCTGGTTTGCTTCTCTTTCTCCACCCCCCCTCCAAGGTTCATCTGTTTTGTTTCTTAAATTCCACATGTGAGTGAGCTCATATGGTATTTGTTTTTCTCTGACAGACTTGTTTCGCTTAGCATGATACTCTCTAGCTCCAACCACGTTGTTGGAAATGGCAAGATTTCATTCTTTTTGATGACTGAGTAATATTCCAGTGTATTTATATACCACATCTTCTTTATGCATTCACCTGTCGATGGACATTGGGCCCTCTCCATAATTTGGCTCTCGTAGATAATGCTGCTATGAACACTGGATGCATATATCTCTTGGAATCTGTATTTTTGCATCCTATGGGTAAATGCCTAGTAGTGCACTTGATGGCTTGTAGAGTGATTCTATTTTTAACTTTTTGAGCAAACTCCGTAGTGTTTTCCAGAGTGGCTGCACCGCTTTGCATCCCCACTAACAGCGCATGAGGGTTCCCGCTTCTCTGCATCCTCACCAACATCTGGTATTTCCTGTGCTGTGGATTTTAATCATTCTGACATATCGGAGGTATCGTATTGTGGTTTTGACTTGTGTCGCCCTCATGATGAGCGATGTTGAGCATCTTTTCATGTGCCTGTTAGCCATCTGGATGTCTTCTTTGGAAAAATGTCGGTTCACATCTTCTGCTCGTTTTTAAACTGGGTCTGCAGTTTTGAAGGCATTAGCCTGCTGCAGCCTCCTTTGCCTGGCAAAGTAATAGAGCTATTGTTCCTCTTTATCCCCAAATTCTGTCTTCATGTTATGTTTCACCTCCAGAGCACAGAGGTAGGTTTTCAACAACAGTAGCACTGTTGCTCAATAAGCCAGCAATATCTATTACTATTGAATGGTTTATTACCAAAGGAGGTTTTTCTTTCACAGAAAGTACCCACTGGGCCCAGGGTAGTTGGGTAATGTAGAATCATATGCATTTTATTTTATTTTTTAAAGACTTTATTTATTTATTCATAAGAGACACACACAGAGAGAGAGAGAGAGAGAGAGAGAGGCAGAGATACAAGCAGAGGGAGAAGCAGGCTCCATGCTGGGAGCCTGATGTGGGACTTGATCCCGGGACCCCAGGATCATGCCCAGGGCTGAAGGCAGATGCTCAACCACTGAGCCGCCCAGGCGTCCCAAGGCTCAGATGCATTTTAAACACAGTTTAGAAATTTTGGGAAGAAGTAGAGGGAGAGAGAGAATCTTAAGCAGGTTCTGCACACAGCACAGAGCCTGACACAGGGCTCAGTCTCACAACCCTGAGATCATCACCTGAGCCGAAATTAAGAATCTGATGCTTAACAGACTGAGCCCACCCCGGCGCCCTAAGATTAGAAATTTTATGAGTCTAAAAGTCCAGATTAGATCCATCCCTTCCAAGAATATCTAATTTAAATTCTTTGCTCCAGGCAAGGCAAACATTTAAAGCAGAGACGATGGTGGTCCTCCGTCAGAGGAGAAACACCTATCTCCACCTGTCCCTCACCCACTCCCACCCCCATGTTTGTGGAAGAGAGAAGGAGAAGCAAAGAATAAGAGCATAGTGTGAAGGTGTAGGAGCCCGGGTGACTCTGCCCTTGGGTCTCCTCTTAGCAAAAGCCACCAGGACTTACGTCGTATGTCTCCACGGCAAAGTCGGGCCGAACGCTTTCGAGCTTGGAGAGCGTGCCCACGACCTGGAACGTGCCTTCCTTCAGTTTGGCTGATGAGGCTTCAGGCATGGTTGACTTATTTTCATCTTCTTCCTCCTCCTCTTCTGTAATTTCTTCGAGAGAAGCCCCAACTACACAGTTAGACAGAAACTGCAAGAAAACACACAGTGACTAAGAAAAATGCTAAGAACCACTTAAAGTGAGGGCAGTCGGTGAAATGATTCTAAAAACTGACTTCTCTTGAGGGTTTGCAAGAGCCAGTGTGTTGTACGTTGTTCTCTTGCTAAAATTAACAATAACCACAGTGGCATGGTGAAGTGGGTACTGTTAGGACGCTCTATTTTTATGGATGAGGAACCCAGGCTCAGAGGGCTTAAAGAATGTGGTTAAGGGGGCACCTGGGAGGCTCAGTGGTTGAGAGTCTGCCTTTGGCTCAGGTCGTGATCTCAGGGTCCCGGGATCGAATCCCGCATCTGGATCCCTGCATGGAGCCTGCTTCTTCCTCTGCCTGTCTCTGCCTCTCTCTCTGTGTCTCTCATGAATAGATGGATAGAGTCTTAAAAAAAAAAAAAAAGAATGTGGTAAGGACATTCCCTGCTCTGGCAACAGGCTGGGCAGGGCTGCAGTCACTATATTGGTCTTGTCTCATAGAAATGTAGAAATGGAAATACTATCCACTCAGGTCAATTAAATTGGCTCGTAGCCACAGTAACAGAAGTAAAAAGAAACCAGTGAAATGAATTTAAATAATGTTTTATTTAGCCCAACAGATTTGAAATATTACTAATTTAACATGTAATCGATACAAAAATGATTATTGAGAACCTTTAGGTTCCTTTTTGTTTATACTAAGTCTTTGAAATGCAGTGTGCACTTTACACTGAGCTCAGGCACGGTTCGTTCCCTTTGGACTTGCCACATTGGAAGATTCAATAGCCACATGGGGTCCTCAGTGGCTACCTTAATGACTAATGAAATAGAATCAAGCTGGCAAAAAAACAAAACCCCCAAAACCAAAGAGGGGCGCCTGGGTGGTTCAGTCAGTTAAGTGTGTGACTCCTGATTTCAGCTCAGGTCATGATCTCAGGATCATGAGATCGATCGAGCTTCCACCACTGGCCTCTGTGCTGGGCATGGAGCTTGCTTAAGATTCTCTCTCTCTCTCTCTGCCCCTCTGCCCCTTCCCCCTCACCTTGCTAGAATGTGATTTCTCTCTCTCTCAAAAGGAAAAAAAAAAAAAAAGAATCAAGTTGGCAAAGTTCTGTTTCTTATTTACAGAAGTTATCCTTGGGAATGATTTATGTAACATTTAAAAGTTTCATATATACATATGTGCATATATATTATATGCATATATACTTATACGTATATCATTATATATAAATAAGAATGATTCCATTTTAATTTGCAATTTAAGCATATGTAAGTAATCATGACATTATCACATGTTGGGAGGAAAAAGAAATACCAAAACCAAACAAACCAGAAGTCCCACCTCATTTATTTTGATAAAAATCAGTTTGAGTTCATAATGCAAGATTATCAGGTTCGACCACTTATGGGAATATATTTCTTCCAAGTATGTCATATATTTTCATTTCTCGCTCAAACATACATATTCAATTTTATTATCCCACTTCCCAGACAAGACACTGATGTCGGGCTGTAAGGAACTTCCCAGAGATTGCACGGGCAGGGTGGGGTGCAACTAGACCTTCTGATCCCCAAGGCAGCATGTGTGCCACAACTGCCACCCTATTCTCTCCCAGGGACGAGTGGGGGAGAGGGACCGGAGGCAGGGGACATGATGGTGTTGTGCAGCTGGGTGGGGGGCCTGAAGACTAGAGACCCAGCCTCCATTTCTTTTAAATGCTCCATATCCCCACTCCCCTGTTGCTTGCTATGGAGAACAATTCCCTAAAATTTTGGAACTAGAGATCCAAAATTTTGGAACTAGTCAAGGAATAACTGAAAAATTCTGTTATTGATAAGCTTTTGGACAAGATCTCTACAAACTAAAAGAAAATGGTTTGTTCTAAAAATACTATGCTGTAAAAAAATAATCAGAGCTCAAAAGAGGGTAAAGGAAAAGGTAAATTCTCTTGCCTCCCACCCTCCTAATCTCAATCAGGCCACCTCCCTTTTTAAAATAATCCAGGGGGGACCTGGGTGGCTCAGTCCGTTAAGCACTAAGCACCCAACTCTTGATTTCGGCTCAGGTCATGATCTCAGAGTCGTGGGATCCAGTCCCATGTGGGCCTTATGCTCTGCACGGTGTCGGCTTGTTCCTCTCACTTTGCTCCTCCCAGTCCCCCCACCCCCTTAAACAAATACAACCTTTAAAAAAAAAATCCAATAGTTTTCACTGGATCTAGAATATAAACCAAACTTCTGACCCTCCTCCTCACCCCCATTCTGGATCCTGCTTCATTAATTTATGCAACAGAAATCACTGGAGTTCTGATCACACGTGGGGCAGCAGTTAGCTGCTAGGCAGGGCCACCTTCTGACTCTCATGGGCCCTTTTCTCCAAGAAAAAAAATATTAAAAATTTTATTTTGGGGCATCTGGGTAGCTCAGTTGGTTAAGCATCTGCCTTCGGCTCAGGTCATGATCTTAGGATCCTGGGATCAAGTCCTGCATTGGGCTCCCTGCTCAGCGGGGAGCCCTCCACACCCACTCCCTCTTTCTCTGCTCCTCCCCTCGGCCCCCTACTTGTGTTCTGTCAAATAAACAAATAAAAATCTTAAAAATAAATAAAAATTGTATTTCATGACTGTATTGCCCTGAAGACCCATAATCTTTGGCTCTAAAATTTCATTTGCTTCCTCCTGATTTTATTTTTTATTTTTATTTATTTTTTTTCCTCCTGATTTTAAAAGAAAAAAAATTTAAACCATTCTTCTTTCTTTAAGATTGTATTTATTTATTCATGAGAGACACAGAGAGAGGCAGAGACACAGGCAGAGGGAGAAGCAGGCTCCCTGCAGGGAGCCCGATGCAGGACTCGATCCTGGGACTCCAGGATCACGCCCTGGGCTGAACGCAGACACCTGACCGCTGAGCCACCGGGGCGTCCCTGATTTTAAAAGATATTAAGACATTTTTGTGGGCTGCCAAGTCTTGTGGGCCCTGGGCACTGTGCCTGCTGGCCGGGGGCCCCGATTTCCTGCACCCTCACCTCCGTGTCCTCCGACTCCCACCTCAGAACCTCTGCCTCTGCTGTGCCCTGAGCCCTGGCTCCTCTGGCTCGATCCTCATCTAATGTTTGAGGTTAAGGCCAGCTTTAAGGAGAGCCCTTTCTGAGACTTGAAAGCAGCTGCCCTCTCGCACCAGCCAATCTTCTTCTCTCTTTCTTTCAGAGTACCCATCACAATAGAAATGCTGCATTTGCTCAAAAAATCGTGACTCCTTCCAGAGAGGCAAGGTCCTCAAAGGCAGCACCTGCTTTCTTATCCACTGTGTAGTTCTCTATGCCTGCTACTCAGGTGTTCATGAAGGTACAAGGCAGTTAACAGTGATGTGTCTTGGTCTATATTTTGAGACTTTTTTTTTACTTTAGTTTTTAAAAAAGATTTATTTATTTGAGAGAGAGAGAATGGAGGGAGGGGCAGAGAGAGAATCTTCAAACAGACTCCCGTAGGGTGTGGAGCTCACTATCCTGAGATCATGAGCTGAGCTGAGGCCAAGAGTTGGAAGCTCAATCGACTGAGCCACCCAGGTGCCTCTATTTTGAGACATTTTCTGTGTATAGATCATCTCTATTTATTTTTATTTTTTTGATCATCTCTATCTATCTACCTACCTATATTCTATTTGTATCTATCTTTTTGAAAGACATGAATCACTTCATACTACATCTGTCTTTTGAATGCTTCCTTTCTTTAAATAATTTTTTTTTTACTGTATTTTTTCATTTTGTCTCCTGGTTCTTTCTCAGCCCCCCTTACTTTCCCAGTAATGTAGAAGATAGAGCATGTATTTTTAGTCTCTTGTAGTAGATACATATTATATACGATGGACATACCGTTAAAAAAACCAAAATTCCACTGAGAACACTTGCAGATATAATTGGCTTTACTAAGTCATGAATTGAGCAGCCATTTCCATCTAGCAAGCTAGGGAGCTCTGAGAAGCTGCTCAAAATGGAAAGTTTTTATAGGAAGGAGGGTGGGGTGAGGAGTTATTAGCACAAAAAGAAAGGATTGTTTTAGCTAGGTCACCTGGCCTTAGGGAAGAGGGGAGTCTAACGCAGATTACTTCATCTTCCTTCGGGGAATGGAGAGAGCCTTGTGACAGATAACTCATGGGTGCCAACCAGGGAATTCCAGACTGTGTTAAAATTCCACTCCTGGAGAGGTTGAAACTACAGTGGAGTCTAGGTTTGCTGTCCTGAGGGCAAATGACTCCACCATGGGCCCTCGTGGCTTCCTTTTAAACAACACCGTCACATATAAATACATGTTATTGCATGCCATATATACAATATCCTCTTTTTACATATAAATTATCTACCTAAATCTCTATTTTTTTTTTTTTGGACTGATCAACTTTAGATGGTGTACTGGGTTGAATAGTGGTCCCCTACTCCCTTCCCATCCCCCATTTGGAAATTGGGTCTTTGCAGATGTAATCAAGTGAAAATGAGGTCATATTGGATTAGAGTGGGCTCTAATCTAATGACTGGTGTCCTAACAAGGGGGAAATTTGGCCAGAGAGACCCTTGAGGAGAACACCATGGGAAGGCCGAGGCCGAGGTTGGAGTGATGAGTCTACAAGCCAACAGGTGTGAGAATTGCCGGCAAGCACCTGAATCTTCCTCACAGATTTTATAAGGAACCAACACTTTGCCAACACTTTGACTCCAGGCTTCTGGCCTCCAGAACCAAGACAGAGTAAGTGTGTTGTTTCAAGCCACCCAGTGTAAGGTAATTTGTGATCACAGCCCTAGGAAACCAGGACAGGTGGTATGGGCTGTGGCCACATCCTATTTTAGGAAGCCTATGTTGTCTGAAAATGCGATCATTAGCCTCAGAGAAGTCTGCCCCGGGGAGGTTGCACTTCTGTGTAGCTCTGGAGGGTAGGGTTGAGATGAAGGAGTCCTGTGGGCAAGTGATAGAATTATGGCTTCTTTTGATTACTGAGTATTTTAAGATGAAGGGCCTCCGGATCCTCTCCTAGAACAATATCCTCACTTCTCAGGGCTAAAGATGAAGGGTGGGGAGTTTAGTGGGACTCAGGGCCCAAACAGCGCCTGGCACGTAATAGACCCTCAAACTGTATGTTGAAGGGATGGACGAATGAATACGCTTGGTTGGGCCACATAACCACTGGACTTACCTGCCGGTTGCCTGCCTAGATGCGGTGCGTGGGGAAAGAGAACCGGAGGCCTGGGCTCTGGGTCCAGGTCAGGCCCCCAACTTCCTATGTGAACTGAGGCAAGTTCCTTCCTCCCTCTGAGCCTCAGTTTCCTTTCATTAACGGGGAGGAGCCAGCTCTGGACTGGCCATCTCCAGACACCTGGGCTTCCAGCTGGGGCTCTGCGTGAGGACTGGTACCCGGGACCACGAGGGACCCTCCTTTCGGGGAGGCTGTGGCGCAGACTCTCCCTGGGTTCGGGGGGCTCGGGAGCTGCGGGCGGGGGGGGCTGCAGGATGGGGGCTCGGGGCTTGGAGCAGGGGGCTGGGGCGGGGGGCTCAGGAGCTGGGGGCAGGGGGCTGGGGCGGGGGGCTCAGGAGCTGGGGCTGGGGGCTGCGGGAGGGGGGCTCGGGAGCTGGGGGCAGGGGGCTGGGGCGGGGGGCTCAGGAGCTGGGGGCAGGGGGCTGGGGCGGGGGGCTCAGGAGCTGGGGCTGGGGGCTGCGGGAGGGGGGCTCGGGAGCTGGGGCTGGGGGCTGCGGGAGGGGGGCTCGGGAGCTGCGGGCGGGGGTGCTGGGGGCAGGGGCTGGGGACGGGGCTCGGGAGCTGGGGGCCTGGGTGTTGGGGGCAGGGCGCTGGGGCTGCGGGCTGGGGCTCGGCTCTGACCCGCCGCCGCTCACCTTCCCGATGTTCCCGCTGCTGTATGAATCCAGGTGGTTTACAAACACCCTCTGGACGCGGATAACTTTCTCGGTGGCTGCAGTAACTTCCTCCTCCTCAGCCATGGCGGGAGCCTCACTGGTTGCTAAGGAGGAAGCGTCCGTCTGGTTGCCAAGGAGGCAGGGCGGGGGCGGGCCCTCGGGGGGCGGGCCCTCTGGGCGGGGCCCTAGGCGCGGGGCGGGCCTTCCGAGGGCGGGGCGTCGGCGCGGGGCGGGCCCTCCGGGGGCGGGGCCTCTGGGGGCGGGGCCTCAGCGCGGGGCGGGGCCTCTGGGGCGGGGCCTCGGCGCGGGGGGGGGCCTCCGGTTTCCCGCGCGGGGGGTCTCCCCGCCCCGCTCCGCTCCGCTCCCCGCGGGCTTGGCTCCCCGCCCGCTGCTCTCCCGCGCGGCGAGTCCTCCTTCCGAGCCTCTTGGGGCCCGCCACGGGGCCACGTGACCCCCACCCCCTTTCATCGCTTTAGTTCCGACCCTCGCAAAACCCGCAGGACTGAAAATGCTGCCGACCCTGCTGAACGAGGAGAGCCCGGAGCCCGCCCCGCGGGTGTCCGACCCGAGGGGTGACCCGCACCCCGGGTCCAGGATGCCCGAGGGACTGCGTGCGCCGCCTCCCCGCGCCTGTCCTGGGGCTGCGACCCCGCGGGCGCAGGGGCCGCTGCGGAGACCTCGGGGTGCGCGGGGGGGGGGGCGGGGGGGCGGCCAGAGGGTCACCCACATTCACGACGGGCTGCGATTTAGGCTTTTGACCTTTCCAGATGAGATTAGACACGCAGGCGCTCAGCTAAGCCGACACATTAAAAGATGACGTTCAGTTCGTCCTGTCACCGGGCCACAAGCGTCCAGGTGGACATCCTCCTGCCCGTGGCTCGGAATAGTCAGGTTCTATGGAAATACTTCGTGCTCTGAACAATAACTTGTTAAATGTGAATATTTAACACATATACCAATTAAAATATTTTTTTTTCTTTACCTGTTTGCCTCAAAAAAAAAAAAAAAAAGATGTGTCCCAGGGAGCCTGATGTGGGATTCGATCCGGGGTCTCCAGGATCCAGGATCGCGCCCTGGGCCAAAGGCAGGCGCCAAGCCGCTGCACCACCCAGGGATCCCTGGCCTTGAATTCCTATTCGTGGGAGGTTGGGATAAATCGGCTGTAAAACAGGAGTGAAATCACCAGCCTCACAGGGCTATTAGGATTAAATAAGAGCCCAGGGCGCGATCCTGGAGACCCGGGATCGAATCCCATATCGGGCTTCCGGTGCATGGAGCCTGCTTCTCCCTCTGCCTGTGTCTCTGCCTCTCTCTCTCTCTCTCTGTGACTATCATAAATAAATTAATTAAAGAAATTAAAAAAAGAACGAATTAAAAAAAAAGGATTAAATAAGAAATACATGGCAGCCTTTGCTGAAGGGGTGTCCAAAGGCGAACTTGCCTTTCTTTTTCCTGCAACGGTAAGGCCCATTTCTGCAAACGGGAGACTTTTATGCCTTTTTTTTGTCTCCACCCGTTTTCGATTAATTGGTTATTAATTTATTATTAGTTCATTGATTAATGGTGGAGGATAGGGAGAGAGAATCTTAGGCAGGATCCACAGAGGATCCAGTACAGAGCCTGATGCTGGGCTGGATCACAACCCTGAGATCATGACTTGAGCCAAAATCAAGAGTTGGATGCTTAACTGACTGAGCCACCCAGGCAACCCCCCCCTCCTTCTTTTTTATACAGGTCTCATAAAACTTGTTTTGGTAAAATAATTAACACTTTGAAATTTTGCATTCAATCTGGGAACAGCTTGCTCATAGCAACATTCTATTTTTAAAATTATCAACAAGATGTAAAAATATTCATGCAGGACCTGTGCAAAACTTGATGGAGTGGGTATTCTTTAACATTTTTTCAAATAACTTGTTAGTTCAAATTCTCTAGAATTCACTGGATGCCTCCTTTTGATTTTTAGTTTGTCCTTGTTGATATGCGGCTCAGCAGGTAAGTATTCTGAAAGCTCTTCAACTGTATGCGTTACTAGAAAATATTTCACCCTGTTTCATTCTTATTTATACTCCTAGTAACAGCTAAAAGAGCTAGCACCATAGTTTTTTAAGTGGATGGCTTCGAACGAATTTTACATCTATCATATTGGTAGGTGAAAAAATGAGATTCTATTATATCAACAAGTAATGTACCTTTCTTTTACTATTACTCCCTTCCTTTTTCAAAGTCAGCTTTCATAGACAGGCATACCTTGGAGAATTTTGGTTTCCAGACCACCACAATAAAGTGAATATTGCAACAAAGCTAGTGAAATGAATTTTTTGGTTTTCTAGTGCATGTAAAAATTATGTTTGCCTTATACTGCAGTTAAGTGTTCTGTAGGAGTATGTCTAAAAAACTAATGTCCAGGGATCCCTGGGTGGCGCAGCGGTTTGGCGCCTGCCTTTGGCCCAGGGCGCGATCCTGGAGACCCGGGATCGAATCCCACGTTGGGCTCCCGGTGCATGGAGCCTGCTTCTCCCTCTGCCTCTCTCTTTCTCTCTCTGTGACTATCATAAAAAAAAAAAACAAAAACTAATGTCCATACCATAATTAAATAATACTTTATTGCTAAAAAAAAATGCTATGATTTGAGCTCTCAGCAAGGGTCTTGCCTCAATGTTGATGGCTGTTGACTGATCAGGATGGTGGGTGCTGAAGGCTGGGGAGGCTGGGGCAATATCTTAAAATAAGACAATTAAGTTTGCAGCTCAATGGACACTTCAAGAATGATTTCTCTAGCATGTGATGCCGTTTGATATAGTGTTTTGGCCACAGTAGAACTTCTTTCAAAATTGGAGTCAATCCTCTCAAACCCTGCTGCTGCTCTGATATCAACTAAGTTTATGAAATATACTAAACCTTTTGTTGTCATTTCAACAATCTTCACCAGTAGATTCCATCTGAAGAAACCCACTTTCTTAGCTCATCCATAAGAAGCAACACGTTTGTTCAAGTTTTGTTGTGAGACTGACGCAATTCAGTCCCATCTTCATGCTCCTTGCTGTTTCCACCCCCATCTGCAGTTTCTTCCTCTCCTGAAGTCTTGAACCCCTCAGTCCTCCATGGGGGTTAGAATGAACTTCTTCCAAACTCCTATTAATGTTGGTCTTTTGACCTCGTGAGTCACGGATGTTTCTCATGGCATCTGGAATGGTGAATCCTTTTTAGGTTTTCAATTTACTTTGTCCAGATCCATCAGAGGTATCATAAGGCAGCTACACCTTTTTGAAATGTTTAAGTAAGATATGAAAGTCGAAATGACTTCTTGATCCATGGGTTGCAGAAGAGATACGGTAGCAGGCACGAGAGTAACATTCATCTGACTGCAGATCTCCATGCGAATTCTTGGGTGACCAGGTACATTGTCAATGAGCAGTAACATTTTGAAATGAATTGTGCTTTTCTGAACAGTAGGTCTCAACAGGGGCTTAAAATATTTAGCAAACCATGCTGTAAACACATGTGCTGCCACTCAGGCTTAGTTGTTCCATTTATAGAGCAGACAGTATAATTCTTTTTTAAAAAGGATTTTTATTTATTTGAAAGAGCGAGTGAGCATGGGGAGGGGCAGAGGGATAAGCAGACACCATGGTGAGCCTGGAGCCCCATGCAGAGCTCAATCCCAGGACCCCGGGATCATGACCTGAGCCACCTAGGCGTCTCTAGCATAATTCTTCAGTGCCCTACAATTTTGGAATGAAAACGAGTATTGGCTTCCTCTTAAAGTCACTGGAGCATTAGCTCCTGACAAGTCAGCCCGTCCTTTGAAGCCAGAGATTGACTTCTCTCTAGCTATCATAGTCCTAGAAGGTATCTTCTTCCAACAGAAGGCTGTTTCATCTACATTGAAAATATTTAGCGTAGGCACCTTCATTCATCTTAGCTAGGTCTTCTGGATAGCTGGCTGCTTTGATTTGTACTTTGTTATGGAGACATTGTCTTTCTTTAAAGCTTCTGACCAGCCTCTACCAGCTCTGAACTTTTCTTCTGCAGCTTCTTCACCTCTTTCAACCTTCATAGAATTGAAGAGTTAAGGCTTTGCTCTGGATTAGGTTTTAGCATAAGGTAATGTGGTTGGTTGGTCCTCTGTCTACACTAACACTTTCTCCCCAAGAGCAATCAGGCTGTTTTGCTTTATCCTTGTGTATTCACTGGAGTAGCATTTTTTCCTTCAAGAACTTTTCCTAAAGGATACAGTCAACAAAACTCAAAGACAACCTACAGAATGGGAGAAGGTATTTGCAAATGACGTTATCAGATAAAGGGCTAGTTTCCAAGCTCTATAAAGAACTTATTAAACTTAACAGCAAAGAAACAAACAATCCGATCATGAAAAGGGCAAAAGACATGAAGAGAAATCTCACAGAGGAAGACATAGACATGGCCAACATGCACATGAGAAAATGCTCTGCATCACTTGCCATCAGGGAAATACAAATCAAAACCACAATGAGATATCACCTCACACCAGTGAGAATGGGGAAAATTAACAAGGCAGGAAACAACAAATGTTGGAGAGGATGCGGAGAAAAGGGAACACTCTTACACTGTTGGTGGGGATGTGAACTGGTGCAGCCACTCTGGAAAACTGTGTGGAGGTTCCTCAAATAATTAAAAATAGACCTGCCCTACGACCCAGCAATTGCACTGGTGGGGATTTACCCCAAAGATACAGATGCAATGAAACGCCGGGACACCTGCACCCCAATGTTTATAGCAGCCATGTCCACAATAGCCAAACTGTGGAAGGAGCCTCGGTGTCCATCGAAAGATGAATGGATAAAGAAGCTGTGGTCTATGTATACAATGGAATATTCCTCAGCCATCAGAAACGACAAATACCCACCATTTGCTTCGACGTGGATGGAACTGGAGGGTATGATGCTGAGTGAAATAAGTCAATCGGAGAAGGACAAACATTATATGGTCTCATTCATTTGGGGAATATAAAAAATAGTGAAAGGGGATAAAGGGGAAAGGAGAAAAAAAATGAGTGGGAAATATCAGAAAGGGAGACAGAACATAAAGACTCCTAACTCTGGGAAACGAACTAGGGGTGGTGGAAGGGGAGGAGGGCGGGGGGTGGGGGTGAATGGGTGACGGGCACTGAGGGGGGCACTTGACGGGATGAGCACTGGGTGTTATTCTGTATGTTGGCAAATTGAACACCAATAAAAAATAAATTTATTAAAAAAAAAAACTTTTCCTTTGCATTCACATATGGGCTAACTGGTGCAAGAGGCAGAGCTTTCGGCCTTTCTTGGCTTCCCACTTTTCCCACTAAATTTAATCATTTTTAGCTTGTGATATAAAGGGAGAGATGTGCAATCCTTCCTCTCACTTGAATACTTAAGAGGCCACTGTAGGGTTATTAATTGGCCTAATTTCAATATTGTTGTGTCTCAGGGAATACGGAGGTGCAAAGAGAGACAGAAAGAGGACAACGGCCCATTGGTGGAGCACCAGGACGCAATTTATCAGTTAAGTTCCCCTTTATGGGCATGGTTTGTGATACCGCCTAAAATTATAGCAACATCAAAGGTCACTGATTACCGTAGCAAATAGACCTTTGTGACAAAAAATCCTGCATTATCTATAAAGTGCAGTAAAATGAGGTGTGCCTATAACCACAAAGTTCAGGTGATGCTTTTATCAACACACACACACACACACACGATGGTTATAGTTGGTGGAGACAGAAGACTGAGTTCTGAACCAACTGCAGTGTTCACAGGTGGGCTGCTGAGCATGCCCCTGTCTGTCCAAGAGTCAGCTGTCATCCACAAGATAAATGGGTTGAAGGTAGAGTGCACACGGCAGAAAAATTTCTATCCTGCTCCCCTCGACAGCCAAACAATACATTGTTTCTGAACCCTGTACAGAACTGCAGTGAGCGAGGGGAGGAAGCTAACCCTCAGGACACCACTGGTGGCTGATTTGCTGTTGGTGACCTGGAGTAAAGGTGGGGAGGGTGTCGTCGTGGGAAAGGAGGTGGGCATTCTTTGTCTCTTCAAGGATCCTGGGAGTGAACACTCAACCCAGCTTGGTGCTTTTGCTAGAGAAGTGTTCTTTAGCTGGTTGAAACCCTGGATCTGTTGTATTTCCCCTTCAATTAGTGCATACAGGCTAACGCAGAAATTGAGAGTATGAAGGGGATGAAAATGACCTATTCTCATCACCTAATGAGAGCTACTACTAACATTGTAGATTTTCCAGGAATAGATCATAGTTTTATAACCTTTTCTAAATCATGCAGTGTATTTTCCTATTGCCATTTTTTCATGATTTTTTAATGGCTGCATATTTTTCCATCAAGAGCACATGATGTGCTTTTTAGAGCCTTTCCAACTTTCCATTAGAGAAAATGAATATTCTTGTAGTGTATCTTCTGCTGAATCTTTTCTCCATGCTAGATTGCTAGGATATTACCAGTACAGAAGTTACAAGCTTTGTAAAGGCTCTATTACTAATATTTTCTGGAAATGTTTCATTGAATGCCCCTCACTAAATCCTTATTGATATCATTACATTTAAATAATGGAGATTATTAAGTTATTAGGTTAAATACAGAGCTAAACTCTTTTCCTTTCTTGAATTACTGGTCAGGTTGATATCTTTCAAGTGGTTACTGGACATCCATACATTTTTTTTTCAAGTTGTTTGATCATATTACATGCCCACTGTTCTTTTCTTCTCTTTTCTTTCTTTCTTTTTCTTCTTTCTTTCTTTTTTTTTAAGCTTTATCTATTTATTCATTCAGAGAGAGCGAGAGAGAGGCAGAGACACAGGCAGAGGGAGAAGCAGGCTCCATGCAGGGAGCCCGATGTGGGACTCGATCCCGGGTCTCCAGGATCACACCCTGGGCTGCAGGCGGCGCTAAACCGCTGCACCACCAGGGCTACCCCTGTTCTTGTTTTCTTATTGACTTGTAAGAGTTACTTATTTAGAGGCTTTTTCTTTTTTTCCCCTTTTGGAAGTGACATCAAGGATTAATTTATCTGATTAAATTCTTTAAACAAGCTAGATGAAATGGAAGTTTCAGTATCTGTATAGTTTTATTAATGTCTTTTCACTCTGTTCCTCTTTCATAACGATAAAAAGAGCAAACCACTTCACAGCAAAATGTAACCATACAGAATTCAAAAATGGACATGGAAGCTCCTGGAACCAGTCATTTATCACAAAATGAACAAAGTCAATTTTTGAATGTACAATCACTTTTCTTCATACTTAACTCGAAATGAGTAAACAGAATTTTATTCGAACTTTACAAATATCCTTTACATTTATTTAGCCTGAGATTAAGCGTGAGAAAATCTGACCTGCAGTTAGATATCACTGCCCAGTTAGCATCTGAAAATAAAGCTGCAAATGGACATGCATTTACCAAACACAAATAAATCATCCTGATGGACTCTGACAATGAATACTGACCCAAACCGAACTTTAATGTGGTTCTACATGATCTTCGGAGCCCAAAAGTGTTTATTACTAAATAATGATTAAAAAAAAAAAGTCTGCAAATGACAAATTATGAAGGTGTGTCCCAATGCAGAATTTTACTTCAACATTTCTACAGCTGCTGCTTTAGTAGTACTACTAAAAAATCGACTCCCCAATCCTTAGTATTCAATATGTACTTGAAAACATGTAGCAACATGGTACGATTCATTTTTATAAATATTAGTACCTGTAATAAAATATAAAAAGAGAGTCTACCTTTTTCAAATATCAAGTCTCTGAATGCTTCATTCATCCTTTGGTTTCAAACCCATACAATGCAGGCATATTACATTGTAGATTTAGCTTTGAGAAAGAATACTGTGCATCTGTTGGGGAGGGAGGGGTGCTAGGGAATACCAAAGCACTACAGTATAGAAAGGAAACATTGAAGCAAAAATACTTTCTGAATATATACTGTACATCATGTAAACAAACATTCATAATAAGAATCAACACAGGCCAAAATATTGTTTTCTGGGAATTCAGAATCTTCTTCCTTTTGAATCACACACACACTGAAGATGATTTTTGTTAAGAAAAATGGAGCCTGTTCCTATATTTGCTTATGTGCTTAAATATCTTGGAAACAATTATTACATTCATTTGCTAACGGTTTGTCCTCTTAGTTGGCTGGCTGTTGCAAACAAGGAATACAGAACTATTATTTCAGTACCTGTTTTCCATTTAATACTAGCTAAGTAATATATATAATTAATTCATCTTTATCAGTCCATATTAGTAATATAAATAGATTAAGTGAAGCAGTGAATTTCAAAATTTGTGCAGGGGAAACTAGTTGATAATTTGTTTCCAATAAGGCTAGTAGCAAAATAATTACTACAAAGTCAGTCCAAGCTAGTAGTAAACCCCTGATTTAGCAAGCTGAATCCATGTTTGAAGTTAGGTCATTTTAATTCCTGTATATTACTGTGCAAATCTAGAATTTCCTATGTAAAAGAGAGTGCTGGTAGCATCAAAATCCTGTAATAACAGAATGAAATACTGATTAGGTTTTGAAATGCAGAGCTACTATATGAAGAAATCTGAATGTCTTAATGACAGTATCACAGCAATGGCCTCAGGATTCCCTTAAGGAATCCAAAACTAAGAAAGACAATTCATTAGACAGTAATGTTCTGAGGCAGAAGCCTAAATTTGAAGCAAGGAATGGACATAAAACCAAAAATGCGTTTTCTACTATGACCATATGCAAGTATTTCAAGCTTTATGTCAACATTTTGTACCAGCAGCAGCCCCCTCTAGAAGGAAAAAGCTTGGTCACGACTATCCATCCCTCTTCAAAGCTTCCAGTCTTTGAAGGAGTGCGTTTCCAAATGCTTCCCGGTAGGCAGGGCTGAGTGTATCCAGCAACGAGTAGACAGTTTCATGATAGGGAGTGTGTAAGTGATCATCCACTTGGTCAAAAGCATAACCTACCACCTACAAGAGAAATGCAACAGTGGATCAAATAACTAGATTTAACTTGGTACAGAAAGCAAAAATGTGTTTACTGGGGCCATTCTTCAATGACTCAATTTCTCAATCAATAGAATATGCATATTTCTTTTTTTTTAAAGATTTATTTATTTATTTGATAGAGAGAAAGAGAGATATCACAAGCAGGGGGAGTGGCAGAGGGAGAGGCAGGTCCCCATCTGAGCAGGAAGCCTGATCATGACCTGAGCCAAAGGCAGATGCTCAACCCACTGAGCCACCCAGGCACCCTAAGTGTATTTCTAAGCAGTCTGAAACTTAAAGGAACATCACAAACAAAATGCCCTCTTTATCATCTTTTTCTCAAAATGTAAAAGGTTTAATTTACCTATTCCTGAACCTAAAAAGGGATGTCAGAAGAAATGTCAGAAGGAATGTAAAAGCCTACACAGAACAGGTATTTCATTTTCATAGACTGAAACGTGCTTCTATTTATTCCCACACCTACCGAGGATCAACCATACAAAGGCACCAGAACAGATGCTGTATTATCAGTCCATATTTTTATTATTTATTTAAACTCTTTTATAGAGTCCTAAAAACTGCTTATAGTTTCAATCCTGCTTTACAATTAGTTACATTACTAATTCAACATTACTAACACATAACTTATCTGACAGGGAAACAAATGCTCAACTCTGTGAGATCAAAGGGAATGCTATTCTGTGTGTGTGTTTTCTCTGAACACCGTGAAAGCTTTTGTCCCCAACAAGATCTATCTTGGTTCACCAGCAGTGTTGGGCAAAATCAACTTAGCTTTTGTTGACTAAAGCTGGTGAATTCCCTATATAAACTAATTTTTTAAGACATCTATCCAAGAAGACTCACCTTTAAGTTACAAGTGGCTTTGTTGTTGTTTTAAATGAAAGCAGAGGCAGATGTGTCAGGATGATGAATCACAGCTCTTTGGAACCATGCTGTGTTGTAGCACTTTCTACACCACATACCACTGTTTGCCCCTCCTTTCCCTGCTAGCCTACAGTCTATTTCTAATTTCCAACACAGGATAGTTGCTCAGTAAAAGCTAACTGAGTAAGACTGCAAAGACAAATATTCGAATATCTACGTGCCAGGTTTCTAAGGGCTCTAGACCTTTCTGCAAACTATTCATATAAGCATCCTTCAAATCCTTTTTAGTTTTTTTTCCTGATCTCTAGGCTACAGATAAAGAAGCAGGGTGCAGACAGGTTGAATGACTCACCCAAGATCCCTCAAATTCACATGTTCGGCTTCTGACTCTGATCAGAATCCTTCCTACCTTCCACAGTCACCTCAGAACTAATCAGTGTAAGACTGAATTAATATACACAGGATGATTGATCTCTACTTTGGATTTGCCTATTTCTATTTAAGATGCACCCACTTCTAAAACTACCTGCTTTTAGCACAAGGTCAGGGATTTAGGAGGGAGAGCACAAAGACTGGTTAATCTAGGTACTACTCCCAAAGCAAAGGAGCTACCGGTGCGGCAGTTATGAGGAACTGGAAGTAGTGAAGATGCCAGATTGGCAATTTATTTCAGTGGAGGTGACTGTCAGTCAATGGATACATAGAACATATAGTTTGAGCAAACTGAATCTAGTGAAATAAAAAGATATTTGTGTGCTTAACACTGTCTGACATTCTTACCTACTCAGGCCTTGCCCTGTACCTTAGGATACTCTGCAACTTTGCAGGACTACCCTTAGGTATACTAACAAAAGTCAGAGATCTTTTGGCTAAGGTTGACAATTATTAAAGTCAAACTAAATTTTGGAATTTCTAATATCTATTCCTTTGTTCAGGTCAGAAATTTTCCTAACAGCGAGTTTTGGGTTGTTTGTTTGTATTTATTTATTATTTTTGAAGGATTTTATTCTCAAGCAATCACTGTACCCAATGTGGGGCTCCAACCTACAACCAGGAGATCAAGGTGCCCCAGTGAGTTTTGTTGTTTTAAATGATAAGTTGCTCTTGGCCAGGGATTTCTACTCTTCTAAATTCAAGATTCTGTTTCAAAGGTTGCAGAGGTGTCACTCTGTCTAGAAAAGCTCACACACAGGAAAAGACACTCTTGCCAATCTGGAGGCAGATATTCTGCTGTGACTTAATTCTGACCTAACAGCTGGAGGACAGAGCAATCAGGTATGTTATTTTAGTAGAAGAGACATTTTATAAAAAGTGGGAAAATATCCTCTCAACATGATGATTGCAAAGCTCACCTAAGCACAGAATGCCTACTTTTGGTGGATATATTTAGCTATAGGCAAGAAATAAATTAAATTGGGGGGTTATGTTCAAAACAAAGTAACACTGTAAATCAAATGTTTTTCTTTTTCAAAAAACCCAAAGACTTTATAATTAATAAGAATAACTAGAGAAAAAGAGCTTTTCTTACAAAGATCTTGGACCTGAGGCACTTGGGTGGTGCAGTTGGTTGAGGGCCTCCTTCTTGGTTTTGGCTCAGGTTGTGATCTCAGAGTTGTGAGATGGAGCTCCCCTTCCGGGTTCCAGGCTCAGCAGGGAGCCTCCTTGAGATGCTCTCTCTCTCCCTCTCCCCCGCCCAAACCTCTGCTCTCTTTAAAAATAAATAAATAAATCTTAAAAGACTTTTTTGGATGTTGTGTTCTCAGTTAACAATCTTCTTGCCCCCCGGTCCCTGCCCCCTAAAGTGGTAAAAATAACAATAAGAAGGTTTTTTTTTTTTCTATAAAGAAAAGCAACTTACCCTTAGCCCTGCTTCAGTGAGCTCGAGGCAGTATCTGTTCCTCTCTCTTGTTTCCACATTGATATAGGCAACATCATCAGCACAGCGCAGGTTTTTGGAGACAAACATGTTATTAACAGCAAAGAGAACGTCATTTACAACTGCTTCAGCTTCTAGCTTCATGTCTTTCATATCAGCTTCTTCAAAACCATTAAGCTCCGCATCTTCTTCAAACCCGGACATGCTGCTCAGCTCCATGGGATTACAGTCTGTTTCCATTCTGCAAAGGAGTAGATATAAAACATGTTTATAGAGAGACATTCCAAATACTGTTGTTTGATTAAGAGGAGCTATGCCTTAATAGAAAACATTAACTAGCTAACAACTTTTAAGGAAAATACTGTCTAAAACCATTTCCAGGGGGATCCCTGGGTGGCTCAGCAGTTTGGCGCCTGCCTTTGGCCCAGGGCGCGATCCTGGAGTCCTGGGATCGGGTCCCACACCGGGCTCCTGGCATGGAGCCTGCTTATCCCTCTGCCTGTGTCTCTGCCTCTCTCTCTCTGTCTATCATAAATTAAAAAACAAAAAAAAACCAAAACCATTTCCAAGTTGTTTTTCACAGACATGTATAGATTTTCAAAAAAAGAGGTTTTCTACTCTTCCCCTAAAGGTTAATTCCCATAGTGATATAATTCAGAATATTAGCTTTCACTTTTTTCCAATAATGCGTCAGTAAAAATCCTGGTACATAACTCTTTTTAATGTGTAATTATTTTTCTAGGATATTTAAAATTGGAATTGCTGAGTCAAAATGTATGCTCATTTTAACTTTCAACAGATACTGCTGATTCACCTTCAAAAAAAGGGCTGTACTGATTTATCCTCCACAAATAGAATATGAGAGACTATATTCTTTTTCATTACCCTCTTTACAATCTTTGTTAATATTTGTCAATCTGAGAGGCAAAGAATGATGCCTCATTGTCTGAATATGTATTTCTTTGATTAAACATCTTTTTGATATTTATAGGATATTCTTAGTTCCAAGATCATACAGCTGTAAAAAGCAGAAATGGAAATGAACTCAGATTGTTAAATCAGAATTGAAATCTTCACCTACTATAGTGCATGACTTCTCAATGGCTCTTTTTAGGACTTCTGGATTTGAGGTTTTGCATACAAGGGTCTTTTCCACCCCATGATTACATTTTAAAAACCTCTTAGGTTGTCTTCTGAGTTCCCATTCTCTACATGGATGGTTAACTTTCTGATCCATCTAGAATTTATTTTGTATAGCTTTGTTTTTGAAATGGATGGCTTACTGTCCCAACGCCATTTATTAAATGACTCATGTTTTCACCACTTCTTTGAACTGATCCAAATACTATAATTGGAAAAATATCATTTCTCAGGCTAACTCAATCCAACGTTACTGCCAGGTTGCTATGGAGTTCTAGCTTCTCTTCTGTGATGTGGTAGCAGTGAGTATTGTTAAAATTCAAAATGTATGAATGAGAAAAGTTAATGAATGTCAAAATGCACTGGAATGCAGGAATTTTCAGAAGAAAACAAGCTTTCTTTTTAGCTGCAGGCTTTAAAAGTAAATTCAGATTTCATTTCTCTGAACTGGATTAAGCATTCATTGTCCTGAATGTAGTAGGACTCTTCAACTTGTTATGAGCATTTATATAATTTTTTTAGTACCTTAAAAATTCCATCTCTTTTTCTATAGTACTGACTTGTGCCCTATTTGTAATTTTCAAAATCCTCTAAGTTAGTGGTTTTTACCATGGCCACTGACCCCACCTCAGAGAAACTGAATAAAAATCTCTGGGAGATTTTTCTGCATATTTTTTAGAGTTTAGAGATTCTACTGTATGGCCACTGCTCTAAAATTATTCGCACAAATCTTAAGGAGTTAAAGAGTTTCTGTAGCTGTACATCGTTTGCCATCATAAAAGGCAAACTAGTTGCTAAAGGCAGTTTATGACAAACTATGTCTAACCACTTAAAAAACTGCATAGCAAATGTACTAGTAATATATTCTTCCAATCCTGTTCCAACTAATGATGTTTATGGTTCCTTTACCTTGAGTCCTATAGCACTCTACAGAATTAGTCCCTCATTCCTAGCAAGTTAATTTTATCAATTATTGCTGGGGCAATTTGTCAGATAACTGGAATCTAGTATTGACTTCTATCTATGAAAGTGAAAACATTTGTTTTTCTTTTTTTTTTTTAAAGATTTTATTTATTTATTCATTGACACAGAGAGAAAGAGGCAGAGACACAGGCAGAGGGAGAAGCAGGCTCCATGCAGGGAGCCTGATGTGGGACTCGATCCTGGGTCCCCAGGATCACACCCCAGGCTGCAGGGGGCGCCAAACCGCTGCGCCACCGGGGCTGCCCAACATTTGTTTTTCTAAAACTTTCTACCTTATCCTAAAAGTAATCATTCTACTCATTATAATAATTGGTTTCATGTGTAAGAAAATAATCCATTTTATTGTTTTACAGAGTCAGTGTTGAAGATTTTGAAATGGAACTGTCCATTATTGTCTCTTACTATCATGAATACCAAATATCTTTGTTTTGCTTAAGTGATCAAGTACCTCAATTATGGATGTCAGGAATAATAATCACTACATTAAAGAGATGATGAGAAAGCTTGACAAGCTTTTAAAGCAAGAGTCTAATTCACTGCAATTAGGACCTTAATGATGGAGAAAGATGAAGAATCCAACATCAAAATGGAAGAAACCCTTACAGGTCCATGAATTATGTCATCAAGTTGCTGCTGTGTAATAATTAGCACCAACGGGCATAAAAGAGAGACAACTTTCCTAACTGCAAAGTTTTAGAAGATTTTTTCTAAAATGTCTTGGGGCACCCTGGATGGCACAGTTAGTTGAGCGTCTGACTTTAGATTTTATGATCTCAGGGTCATAAAATTGAGCACTGTGTCAGGTTCTATGCTGGGCATGGGAGCTGCTTGGGATTCTCTCTCTCCTCCTCCCTCTTTACCCCCTCCTGCCCGCTGCCATGCTCACTCGCTTGCTCTCTCTCTCTCAAATAAATGACTTTACATGATGCATATAAAAGACACATTCAGAACTTCAGTTAATGATACATACACATGAAAATGATACATTTTAGTACTGAAGCATTATGTAAGCTAATATTTTACACTAGTATTACTTCAAGATACTATAATTTATCTTTTATGCATTGTAACAGGCTCCTGATTATTACCAATATCCTTTTCCATTCCTAATAGCATCCTGATTTTCTTAGGGGAATCATAACACCCTCTTGCCTTACTGAGTAAAGCAACCAAGCAACGTGAGGGAGATTGACTCCAATCCTGGCTAAAGACTACGTTGATAATCACCACATGAATTCCTCCCAGTTGCTCCAATCCAGAGCAGCTTCAGTACACAGCCCCAGTTATTCCTGGCAGCCATTCCAGATGGGGAAACTAGCCCAAGGATGCAGCTAACGGTGGGAAAGAAGAGAGCCAAGAGATTCACAGGGAAATGGAGCCACGGTCTTGAAATCTGACAGTCTTCACATTTTTCAGTTACTGAATCCAACAAATTCCCATTCTTTTACTGGCAACGAAAAGCATCCTAATTGATTCAGAAGTCTACTCAAAATGAAAAGCAGTGATTGATCTAGTTCTTCAACAGCTTTATAAAAGTAAAGAGATTTTAAAAAATGGAACTCTGATTATATTTTTGTGCCAGTCATTCAGAAAATGCTTAATAAAAGCTCTGTAGAATGTGAATAATTATCAGTATGTGTCTGTATTAGTTTCCTCTTGCTGCTGTAACAAATTACCACAAACCTGTGGCTTAAAACAACACAAGTTAATTTTCTTTTAATTCTAGAGGCGAGAAATCTAAAATCCAGGTAGCAGCAGGGATGTATTACTTCTGGAGCCTTCAGTGGAGAATGTTTCCTTGCCTTTTCTGCTTCTAGACACTGACTGCATTTCTTGGCTCATGGTCCCCTCCTCCACCTTCAAAACACATCACTACATCCTCTGGATCGGTGGTAACACCTCCTTCTTCTGACTCTTGACATGGGCACCCCTTTTACAAGGAGTCTCATGCTTACATTGGGATATGTCCCTGTCTGAGGTCCTAAAGTCAATCAATAGGCAAAGTTCCTTTTATCATATAAGGTAATGCATTCAGTTTCTGGAATTAAAATACAGACATCTTTGGGGGCCCTCTTCTGTCTACCACAGTGTCTGTAGCCTATTAGCAGATAAGGAATACAAAGGTAGTCAAAGAGACGTCATTTTCTGACCTTACTTTTAGGAAGCTGTAGTTTATTTTTAATAAACACATTGCACGGGTAAAGTACTAGACAGCTTACAGTGCTTTCTTAAAAGAAGGCCCAGAGTACTTGCCAAGTTTAGTGCCTTCTTTGCAAAGATTCCTTGACAATAGTTTCATGCTTTGTATTCTGTAACTCCAGTACCATGATCACCACAAAATGTACTCAGGGTAGCATTTCAATTAAAGGTAGCATCTCAAGGCTGACAAGGGGTTTATTAAGGATCCTGAATTAAGAGCTCTCTCCAGCTACTTGATTCTAGATGGTGACCGGCCTATCCAATTAGATCCTCTCTTGAGGAGACTGAACACAGAGCCATGAAGGTCCCACCAAACATGAAGGCAGTTGGTGGTGATGCTGCTAGAACTACGGCAGTCAGGGTGGCTTGATCAACGGGACACTAAAGAAGTGGCATCTACATTTCTGATTATGCATCTCATTAACTAAAAATACTTTAAACAGATACCTTGTTATATGTATGTGTATTTACATACACATTCTACTATAATTAAAATATTAAAAACACATAAATATGAATTTAAACAGAAGCTAAAATATGAACTATAAACTTATTTCCTCTTACTTCTCAATGGATTATCTCATGTACTTGAGTGTGGAGGCCAGCACCACAGAGGAGGAGATGGGTGCCCATTTCAGGGAAGAGAAATTACTAGAATTACTACTCACACATTAGAGCTGCTGTCTGGTTACTGGAATGACTTTCTCATCAGTAGGAATCTGGTAAAAATCCTTGATTTCTCTCTTTCTGCAGGCAAAACAATTTATCATTGTACAAGAAATTCTAGACCAACAGAACTTTGTGCAATGAAAGAAACATTCTTTATCAGCGCTTCAAAGACAGTAGCTACAGCTACTGGTTAAAGTGACTGAGGAACTCAATCTCAAATTTCAGTAAATTTTCATTCATCTAAGTTTAAATAGGTAATGGCTCTTGTATCAGAGTGGGTATAGACTTTTGGGAATACTTTTGGATACACGGTAACCAACTCCATTTACATTACAGTTGGAAAAAAATCAGTAGATATAAAGGAACTAAATTAAACTTATTTTATATATGAGTAGCAAGGTTTGGAAATACATGTTAAAAAAAATTCTGAATCTCAGTACTCTATGGAGAGGAATTAACCATCTTGTTTCAAATGGCAAAAGGTAATGAATTACTTGTTTTGTGATCTTGTCAATTTAGACTCTAAGTTTATTATCATATATTGTAATTATTAAATATAATCCACTGTATCTACATATCCAGCATTTCTCTAAGCATCAGAATACTAATTAAAGGGGTCTACTGGTGGGGCGCCTGGGTGGCTCAGTTGGTTGGACGTCCAACTCTTGATTTCAGCTCAAGTCATTATCTTGGGAGCCTGAGACTGAGTCCTGAGTTGGGTTCTGCACCCAGTGGGGAGTCTGCTTGAGATGCTCTCTTTCTCTCCCCCACTCTTGGTGGCACTCTAATATAAATGAATCTTAAAAAACAAAAAAAAGGTGTCTATTGGTATTATAGCTTAATTTGGGAAGTAAGACAAGCTCATGAAATATGTACATAAATATTAACACTACACACATGCACCATAATCATAACCTAAGAAGTGTACTTAATTGTGAGTGACAGGTAGTTAGAGAAAGCAATGGGTATGTTTGGTCTTATTACAAACTTACCACTAAAGTTGTATGAGCCTGGGCTGGCCAGGTAACCTCACTGGACTCATGATTTTCTCAGCTATGAAATAAGGGGAACAGACAAGAAACTCTTTACTGTTCTTGAGAGCTCTGATATTCTGTGATCTATGACATAATTGTTAGTTATGATGGGGCTTGACTTTGACTCATGGAAGAGGTCAGTCAAAACTGGTCTTGAATGAGCACAGGTGAAATTATGGATGAAGCAGAAAGGACTTGAGAGTTGTAAAGAATTCTTCACAGGGAACAAAGCATAAGCAATAACCTGCATGGGGTGTGGCAGGAATTCTAAGGAGACTAGCCTAACTAGTCTAATGCAAGGACAATGTTAGGAGAGTAATCGAGGGGTGCCTGGGTGGCTCAGTGGTTGAGTGCCTGCTTTCAACTCAGGTTGCGATTGGGATTGGGTCCCTTATCAGGCTCCCTGTGGGGAGCCTGCTTCTCCCTCTGCTTCTGTCTCTGTGTCTCTCATGAATTAATAATTTTTTTTTTTTTTTTTAAAGAGAGTAATAGCCCAATTTGAAGTGTGCTGATACCCAGAGAGGAGAATTTGATTTTGGTATAATAGCCTCTTTTAAACTCTTTGAGAATGGTAACAGCAACAGTCTATATTTCAAGTGGGTTTCTTTCAGGCAGCATATGGTTTGGTCCTGCTTTTATATGCAATCTGGCAATTTCTACCTTTTAATTGTAGTGTTTAGGCCTTTTATATTTAACATGACTGCTATAATTACTGATGTGGTTACTATCTATTTTGCTATTATCTATTTGTACCATCTGTATTCTCTTCGCTTTTCCTTATTTTTCTGCCTACTTTTTGACTGATCACTTTTTAGGATTCTATTTTACAACCTTTGGTGGCTTATGAACTCTGTTTTTAGTGGTTAGTTTACACGATACATCTGTAATTACACTATACATCTGTAATTATCACAGTCTACCTTTAACCTTGAAGTGATATGCTACTTCATGTAGAGCATAAGAACTTTACAAGAGTATACTATATTGCCTTTTTAATATTTTTGTCATATTTTACTTCTACGTGCTACAAACTTCATAATACATACATTACTTTTGTTTTAAACAGTATAATTTTTCAGCAATTTAGATAAGAAAGAAGTATTTTATATTCAACCACATAATTACTATTTCTGGTGCTCTGTGTTCCTTTGTGTTTACTTATACTCCCATCTACGATCTGTATCACATCCTCTGCCTGATGGATTTCCTATTAACATTTCCTGTAGTGCAAACCTGCTGTTAATGAATTCTTTCAGCTTTATTTATGAGAGAGAGAATGCACGTGCGCATGAGGAGGTGGAGGGAGAGGGAGAGGGAGAAGCAGGCTCCTTCCTGAGCAGGGAGCCTGATGCGGGACCTGTGTCAAAGGCAGATGCTTAACAACTGAGCCACTCAGGTGTCTCTTTTGGCTTCTGTATATCTAAACAAGTCTTCTTTTCACCTTCAGTTTGAAAGATATTTTTGCTGGGTATAGAATCCTGGGTTGACAGTCTCCCCACTCTAAGATTTTAAAGCTCTCTCTCTACTATTATTTTACTTACATTATTTCCCGTGAAAAATCTAATGTCATTGCTGTCTTTGTTCCTCGGGGTGTAGTTTTCCTGATTTCTTTTGCTTGGGGCTTTTCAAACATTAATTTGTCCCTCCTCTTTTTGGGGACTCCAATTTCATGAATATTAGGTTTAAGTGAAGTTGTCCTACTCTTCTTTTTTCATGTTCTTAGTTTCTTCTCTCTGTTTCACTTTGAATAGCTTCTATTGCTGTCTTTGAATTCACTAATCTTTTCTTCTGCAGTGTCTTATCTCTACTTGTCTTTTTAAAAAACATTTTCCACGTCTCTACTTAATTTGCTCAGTTTTTCCCTCTAGCTTTTTAAACATATGGGGTTTTAATGTCCTTGTCTACTAATTTCACTGTTATTTATGGGTAAATTTCAAATTACAGATTTTTCTTACTATGGGTTGTATACTGCTGCTTTGTATGCATGGTAATTTTTAATTGGATGCCAAACAATGTGTATTTTACCTTATACAGTCCTATTTTAATATGCCTATAAATATTATTGAGCATTCTTTTGGGATATAGTTATTGGAAATAGCTTGATCTTTTTGGTTTATTTATTTTTTAAAGATTTTATTTATTTACTTACTTACTTACTTACTTATTTATTTATTTATGAGAGACACACAGAGAGAGGCAGAGACATATGCAGGGGGAAAAACAGGCTCACTGTGGGAAGAAGCCTGATACAGGACTTGATCCCAGGACCCCAGGATCAGGACCCGAGCTGAAGGCAAATGGTCAACCACTGGGCCACCTAGGCACCCTACCTGATCCTTTTTGAGTTTTGCTTTTAGACTTTTTAAGGCAGTATCAAACCTACATTTTGTTTCTGGTTAATTCTGACCCACTATGGAGTCAATAACCTTTCTGAATATTCTGATATCCAATGGATTATGAGGATTTTCCACTTTTGGTGATAGGAACAGGAACATCCCTGGTCCTGTAATTTTTTTGGGTAGTTTCTTCACACCTATGTGTTGATCAGTATTTATTCAGCTGCAGGCTGGAGGGGGATCCTCTGTACATTTCCACAGCTCTTGCTTTCTGTGAAGCTCTCTAATTTCTAGTACTCTGTCCTAGTTGACTTGGCCTTTCTGAACTTGAAGCTCCATATCCTTAATTCAGGGAGACTACTGGGCTCTACCTGGGTTTCTTTTCCAGTGTCATGCCTAGAAATTCTCTCCAGGCAATAAACTGGGGCAATGGGCTCACCTCCTTTGTATATCACAGCATTAGACAATGAAGGATGCTGATCCTTCAATGTCCCAGTGATCAGCATCCTTCATTGTCTAATCCCCAACATCTTAAAAGCCTTTTCTCCCCAGATGTTTTTGCTCACTTTCTTATTGTTTCAGGTGGAAAGGTAATCTGGGCCCTGTCCCTCTGTCTTTGCCAGGAATGCACAACCGAATGCATTCCAGTTTTGAGCAAACCTTGTGATCTTATTTCATAAATTTTTCTTTCAGTAATTTTGGTCTCTCTCATATTACCTCTTTTTTTTAAGATTTTATTTTTAAGTAATCTCTACGCCCAACATGGGGCTCAAATTCACAATCCTGAGATCAAGAGTCACACATTCCACTGGCCAAGCCAGCCAGGGTGCCCCTCTCCCCTATTTGGAAAAACTTTACCACCTTGCCAATTCCTTCATTAATGGGTTAAATACGTTTCTTAAAAAGTTGAGTATAGTCAACACACAAAATTTAATTAGTTTCAGGTGTACAGATTAGTGATTTGACAAGTTCATACACTAGGTTGTTTTTACCACAAGTGTAGCTACCATCTATCCTGTTACATCACTAAAACAATACCATTAACTGCATTCCTTAGGCTCTGCCTTTTATTCTCATGACTTATTCATTCCATAGAGTTAAATACATTTTTTACACATGCTTACTATGTTTGTTTAAGACCTATGTTTCTAACTTAAAAAAAAAATTGTACTTTGACATTACAGGTGACCCTTGAACAACATGGGTTTGAACTGCATGGTTCCATTTATATGTAGATTTTTTGTTTTTAAGATTTTATTTATTCATGAGAGACACAGAGAAAGAGAGTCAGAGACACAAGCAGAGGGAGAAGCAGGCTCCTCATGGGGAGCCCAATGCGGGACTCGATCCTAGGACACGGGGATCACGACCTGAGCCGAAGGCAGATGTTCAACCACTGAGCCACCTAGCTATCCCTATATGTAGATTTTTTTCAATACATACAGTATTGTACTGTAAATGTATTTTCTCTTCTTTATGATTCTCTTAAAAAAAAAAAAGATTTATCTTAGAGACAGCATAGACAGGGGAAGGGAGGAGAGGCAGAGTCTTAAGTAGAGCCTGAGTGCAGAGCCCCACATAGCTCCCAATCCCATAAACCCAGAGATCACACCCTGAGCTGAAACCAAGAGCAGGAGGCTTAACTGACTGTGACACCCTGGCGCCCCTCCTCCTTGTAATTTTCTGAATAATATCTTCTTTTCTTTATTGTTAAGAATACAGTACATAATGCAATATAATATACACAATATCTGTTAATTAGCTGTTTATATAATTGGTAAGACAGTAGGCTATTAGTTAAGAGTTTGGGGAATCAAAAGTTATACTTGGATTTTCAACTACATGGGAGTTGGTGACTGGAATGTCCAAAGCTCAGCTGTATTTTAGACTTTCAGTTCTTCAAAATTCAGCTCGACAAATTTATTTCAGGATTTGGTATCTGATCTCAAGAAAGAGTTAATCACTACATCCTTCTTCTTTTGCATTAGTATTGCTGTAGATTTTCATACTTCTTTGGAAATCAGGACCTGTGATGTCTACATCACCAGCACAGGGTCCCACCTAAGGCAGGTCTTCACTGAATATATGTTTTAAAGTTTATTTGTTTATAATCTATACATCCAACGTGGAGCTAGAACTCCACTACGAGATCAAGAGTCGCATGAGCTCTACCGACTGAGCCAGCCAGGTGCTCCTTCACCAAATACTTTCTGAATGAATAAATCAAAGAAAAAATTCTAACTCACTGCTTCTCAAGCTGTGATACTTGGCCCTGTGACAATGGGCATACAACTGGATAAATAAGAATATACACTGTAGACATTCTCCCCCAAATACACATCACTGTTTTTTTTTTTGACATCACTGTTATAGTAACAATATTATGAAGTGTGATATAAAATTGCCTAGAACTTTTTAAAAACAAATAGAGGTCTTTAGCTATGCCTTCTTCAGGTTATGCCTCTACACTCCTAGGATTTCCTTTGCCTCCGATAAAAAATTTGAGTGAGAAGTAAAAAGAGTACTGCACTTACCTAAGAAATTAACTCAGAAAGCTTAAAATTCTAGGCATTGGGCCTGGGGGTATGAGGTTAATGAGCAGAGGTGGAAGCTAGTAGAAGTGCAGCAGATTCATACTGAGTTAGACTAAGTCTTTATACTTCTTCCCACTTCAGTTAGGGTATTGTTTTTTGTAAAAAGTTAAGGAAATTCAATAGCTCTTATTCCATCTGTTGGTATGATTTAGCAGCTGTGGTAAGTGTTTTTGGAAGATTCATGAAACTGGTTATCAAGATATTGATTACTAAGTCCTTTATTCCTTGTCTCTATTTTTTAATCTTCTAATTTTTCTATGGCAAAAAGAAAATGTATTGTTTGCAGTAAAACAAAAGTCTTTTGAAAATGTGATATATTAGAAAGTACGAGGGATAGAAGCAGAAACGTTCTTCTAAAAGAAGCCAAGTTATTGAGATAGTTAAAATAACTGGTAGCTTCAGTTCCAAGTGGAATGAGAGGTTTGAATTTATCTGCATTTCAAACAAGAGTTTTGAAAGTAAAGATGAATCAAGTTGATTAATTATAATTAGCAACATTTAGAAATTATCCAAAGCTAAAGCTAGTTTAATCTTTATTTGCTGTTAACACGTAACACTTAATGTTTTCAATAGCTCTACGAAGTATGAATTTTGAAATTAAAAAAAAATTTTAAAAAAGACTTTATTTATTTGAGAGAGAGAGAGAAGAGAGGGAGAGCATGAGCTGGGGTGGGGAGAGGCAGAGGCAGAGGGAGAAGCAGGCTCCCTGCCGAGCAGGGAGTCTGACTCTGGGTTCCATCCCAAGGCCTTGAGATTATTACCTGAGCCAAAGGCAGATGCTTAACCAACTGAGTCACCCAGCTGCCCCCCAAATTTTAAAATTTAAAATCAGAATCATCATATATTACAGTATTTGTAATTCAAATAAAATTGCATACTTTTCCCATTTATACACTGATGTATAAAATTATTCTGCACCCTACTTGCAATGACAGAGACACATATAGATGACTAACAACAAATCAATTATAGGGGGAGCTAACAGTGAGGAAATATACAGATAGTGTTAATTTGACAAGCCTTGTAAACTGTAAATAAGCAGCAACACCACATCCCTGTAAACACCCTTTCCTTCAAAACCAGAAACTGTAAATGAGATTTTAAGAAAAGACTCAAAATTTGAATGCTTAAAAAAAAACATCCAGGCATTAATTTTTTGTTTCCAAGTAATCCTCTAGGTTACACAGAGGATTGGGTACTATGTTTAATATAAAGTACATTACGAGCAAAATAAGACAAATCAATATCTGAAGAATACAAAATAGAAAACCTCTCTGCTTTCCATTTTGATTCTAAATTGGCTCCCTACCAGGTTCTGAGGAATATTCCGTTGCCAGTACATTCAAAAACTGGAATACCTTACGGGTGCTATTAGTTATTCTGGTCAGATGACTGTGTCATCTGGTAGAAAGTTTCCAAAATGATTCCTTATAACATCATACATCAATTATTTAGGAACCAGCTCTAACTTCATCTGTGGGTATAATTTTTGTGCTATGTTAGTGTTCTGGAGTCTTGATAAACTGGTTATCAAGGAATTTATCACTAAGTTCTTTATTCTCTACTTAATTTAATGGACTTTGTTGAGTTTCATCACAGATTTACAGCATCAAAGAGCTGAAAAAAGACTGTAGATTTGTCCTTAATGACAACAGTCATATACATATATAGCATGACAAAATAATAGAAGCAGAGTGGCTCAGTGGTTAAGTGTCTGCCTTTGGCTCAGGTCATGATCTCAGGGTTCTGGGTTGAGCCCCCATCCAGCTTCCTGCTCAGCGCGGAGTCTGCTTCTTCCTCTTTCTCTGCTTCCCCCTGCCCGTACTCTCTCTCAAATACATAAAATCTTAAAAAAAATAATAGAGGCAGAATGATTTCAAGAGCAGTATACAGATTTCCAATTTTCACTTTGAGAATCTGACAAGTGACATCCCAACAGTCAGCAGAGGGCTAGAATACGGTATCTTAATCAGGATGACTTCTTATTTGTATCATATCTCATAGCCTGAAAAATCCTCTCAATATGAACAAGTGGCCAGTAGGCTGCAGTGGTTAAAGGGTCTTGAACACAGCAAGAATCTCTGCTCTACCTATTCTGGGACTTGGGGCAGGATACTTGAATCTCTCTGGTCACACATTCCTCCTCTTTAAAATGAAGCTAACCATAGCATCACGTAAAGGGATACCACAAGTACATATGGAAAGTGCTCAGCACGGTGCTAAGCTCAAAAAATAGTATGTTTATTGTTATATACTGAAAAGATGGTTAAGGAAGAGCTGACCCTGAAACTCAAGCCATTTAACTTCGAGTTTGGTGCTTTTAACATCACGTGAAGTGCTGTGGCTGCTGCTGTCTTTTACAGCTCCCAGAATCATGAGATACGGGAGCCCTAAGGGAGCCCTAACATCATATTCCGGTTACGAGTGCAAGTCTTAAAAAGCCAAAAGTATGTCACGCACTTTTCTTTTGTTTCACACATTAACACGGATTTCTTTGAAGGATGTATACAGCTCTGCTATGTAGCTTCTAACCCGTCACTTCAAAGCCTTTTACGGAATTCTTAAAAAGTTGACAATGTTTCTTCACCTTCCTCATTTAATTAACACTAGGTGTTAACATTTTGTGATAGTACTCTGTCTTTGATAAAACATAAAAATAGCACTGTGAGTTAAAATGAGTATCATACTCTAATCGAGCTCCAGGTATAAAAATGCTAGGTCCCAAGCCTGAACATGCACGCTGACTTTCTCCTCGAAAGCATAACACATACGAGGCAACATGCGAAGGGAGCATGCCTGTTATCACAGTAAAATCTTTTTGATTTTTATTTTCCTTTCCCGATGGTTGAAATTTCAGGCATTTCGTGGACAGCCTGTATGCAATTCTCTATTCCAAAGGAAATCACTTAACATTTGGCCTTGAAAGAAGTCGACTGTATCCATTTGTCAAAAGTCCAGTTGGAACCTTCCAAGGCCTATGCTAATTCCCTGCCCAGATGAAATTCCACTTTTTCGTCGCTTTGTTTATATTCCTTTTATTGATAAATGTAATCACTATTCACAAACATGTCTTACTTATATCTTCAAAATATATCCAGAACCTAACCTAACTGCTTCGTACCTCCTCGACCACGACTACTCTAAGTTCAAGCTACTGCCTTCTGCCGCCTGGATTCCTACAATAATCTCTAACTGTTCTGGCTTTTTCTCCTTTGGTCCTCCCACCTCCACACCGCAGTTAGCATGATTCTGTAGAAACTCAGGCCAGATTATGTCACTCCTCTCCTCGAACCCATTCACCTACCCAAGTAAGAGCCCAAAGTCCTCGCAGGGCCCTACAGGGCCTGTGCCCCCAGGCCCCCAGCTTCTCCTCCTCCTTCCTTCACTCTCTGCTCGTGTTCCTTGAACTCATCAATCCTGCCCTTGCTGTTCCCCTGCCACGGAAGTCAACATGCCTTACTCCCTGGCTTTCTCCAAGACTCTGCTAAAACATCACCTTATTGAATAAGAGAGGCCTTCTCTTACCCCTCTGTATACAAGTGGCAAATAACTTCCCTCTCCATTCGCTTTATATCACTTTACTTTTTTTCAACAGCACGTACCAGCCCACGGCCTGTGATATATTTAATTACTGTTGGTTTCCCTTCCCTTCAACAAGATGTAAGCTCCATGGGGCCAGAAACTTAACTCTGCTCACTGCTGTATCCCCAGCACACCAGCAGGCAACAGCACAAACGCTTACTGAATAAAGGAACAGCCCTTTCACCATAGAACATAAACTCCCTGAGTTCTTTTCTACCTTTTCCACCTCCCCAACCGCGGAGACTTTCCTTTAACCGGCCCTTAACGACTATTTCTGAATGAGCGAAGAGCACGGGAACTGAGGTTACCGACGATGCTTCGGACAAGTCTACAAAGAACGGGGGCGGGCGGGGGGGGCGGGGGGGGCGGAGGACACAAAGTCCAAGCGACTACACACACACACACACACACACACACACACGCGAGAGAGAGAGCACACTGGCTCTCAAAAGAGTGTGGCTGTGGAAAGGGGACCCGGAGCCTTCCTGGGTCAACATTTCCGGGCGGTCTTGGTGCGAGTTACCAACCTGCCAATAACCCGCCGTCTTCACTGCGTATCCCTGGATGCAACCGTCTGTGCTCGGGGCTCGGTTTGGGTTCGTCCCCTGCTGCAGCTCGGCAAGTCTCGGGGCGCCCAAGCCCGGCTCGCAGGCCTCTCAGGGCCGGCGGAGCTAGCGGGCGGCTCGGCCTCCGCCGGAGATGCACCCCGCCCCCCCCCCCCCCCCTTAAAAGGCAGAACTAGGATCGCGCAGCTTCCCGGAGCGGCACGAGCGCTTGGCTCAGGTTTCCGCGGGGTCCGGAGCCTCTGGCGTTGAGTACAGAAAGCAGTTCTGCCCGCAGATGCCTCCAAGACTCAAGTTTCCCGGAGCCGGGGGGGTGGGGTGGGGTGGGGGGGGGAGGCAGCACGCCCGCCCCGCACCAAGAACGCGCTCTGCAAACTGCCAAGCCGCTGGGCAAACCCGAGCTTCGGAAACAATACCTCCGAGAGGCGGGGAGGGGGCCAGCAACTTGCCGACAATGGGCGCCGGCCGCTGCCGGGGACCGGGTGGAGGGTGGAGGGGGGCGCGGTGGCGGGAAGGGCCAGGCGCTGCTGCAGCCCCCCCCCCTCCCCCCCGCGGCAGGCGCGCTCCGAGAGCCCGTTTCCGGGGTCGGGGTCCCAGGTGACCGCACGGCCCAGGCCAGCCGCGCCCCCGACCCCTGTCGGCCCGGGCCCCGGGCCCCTCCCGCCGTCGCCCGCCGCGTCCGGGTCGCAGCCCCCCCTCCCTCCGCCCCCCGGGCAGCCCCCGCCGGCTCACCTGCGCGCGCCCGGCGTCCTCCGCTTCCCCCCTCGGGAGGCGTCTGGAGCCGACCCGCGGCGCCGTCCCGCCTCCCGCGCTCGCCCCGCCCCCTCGGAGCCGGAACCGCGCGCTTCCGGGCGCTTCTCCCCGCCCCCCTCGGCCCCTAGTGTGGCGTCACTTCCGCCAGCGCCCAGCCGCGCGCCGCGAGCGTGGGCGTCGCGCACGCGCCGTGAGCGCCCCAGAGCCGGGAGCGCGCCCCGCGGATGACAACAAATACGTCGCGCGGCGGCGGCTGCTGCGGCGGCGGCGGTGGAGGAGTCCGCCTCGGTAGCTGCCGCGGGCCGTGCCGCGTGCGCCCCTGCATCCTGCCTGCGTGACGACTGGGGCCCTCGCGGAGGCCTCCCCACGCCCTCACACCCCCCCCCCGGGCCTGGGGCGACGGGTCCCCGCCGGGCCTAGCGCGAGCCGCGCGGCGCGGGCCATGGGGTCGCCCTGAGGGACGCCCGGCGCCCAGCGGGCATGGAGGGGCCGTCCCGGGCTTAGGCCCCGCCGCCGGGACTCGAGCCGCCGCCTGCCGCCGGCCGCCGCCGCCGCGGCCTGGAGCCGGAGCCGGAGCCGGAGCCTGGGCCCCAGGGCCGGAGTCGCCGCCTGCAGCCCCCGCGGGCCCCGTGGCCGGCGCTCACCATGCCGTGGCCGTTCTCGGAGTCCATCAAGAAGAGGGCATGTCGGTACCTCCTGCAGAGATACCTGGGCCACTTCCTGCAGGAGAAGCTGAGCCTGGAGCAGCTCAGCCTGGACCTGTACCAGGGCACCGGCTCCCTCGCCCAAGTCCCCTTGGACAAATGGGTAAGAGCCGCCGGCGGCCGGCCGGGAGGGTCTCGCTCCCCCTCCTCGGGGATCGGCGAGCGGGTGTCCCGCGTCACCCGCGCTCCGTGACGTCCACCCCCTCCCCTCCCCTCCCCTCCCCCTCCCGCTCCCGCTCCCCGGGGATTGTTTGGATCCCAGCGTGGCAGGGCTCACGGAAACGTGTTCTAGTGTTTATAGTCTGTTCCTAGCAAGTTGCGCCCCCCCCCCCAATCACGTGCTTCGGAAACTTAACGGAGGGGATGGAGTCTACACTGCGGGGAGCGGTTGCGTCGGGGGTTGGGGGGGCCTGCGAGGAGGTGACCGGGCTGCCCCTTGGGTAGCGAGGGTCGCGGGGTTCCGCGGCCAACACCTCCTGTTTCATGACGTGACGGTCCGGGCAGATTAAGGGTGAGGGAGGACGCTTGGGGATGTCAGGCTTCCTCGTCATCCCTTCACTTGGTTTGGGAGGGCTGCCTGGGCAGCGCCTGCCATCTGGAAGGAAGGAGGCGAAGGCCGCCGGCCGCTCTGCCTGTTTTGGCTTCAGGATACGCCTACGAGGCCGACCTGCGAGGGCCTGTGTGTGGCCCTGGTAGGGCGCTTCGGCTTCGCTTGGGTTTTGCTGGGTCACGTGGCCGAGCGTGAACGCAGGTGTTGCAAAAGCCCTGAAGCTGCGGCCTTTGAGAACCTGCTTTCTACTTGTCAGCGGGAGGCTGGGCGCGGCCTCGGTGTGTCTTACAGGTACGGTTGTGCCTGCGTTTGTAGGTGCGACGCGGAGCGCTTCACTTGAACTGTATTCAGCCGGGAGTTGAACAAGAACAGACCGGCTTTTTTTTTTTTTTTTTTGGCATCTCCTTTTTTTTTTTTATTTTTTAAGATTTTATTTATTCATGAGAGACACAGAGAGAGGCAGAGGCACAGGCAGAGGGAGAAGCAGGCTCCATGCGGGGAGCCTGACGTGGGACTCGATCCCCGGGTCTCCAGGGCCACATCCTGGGCTGCAGGCGGCGCTAAACCGCTGGGCCACTCAGGGATCCCCCCGACCAGCTTTTCTCCTGCCCCCAACCCTTCATTTTTTGCGCTGGAGTTTGCTGCTGGCAGTTTGGATTGGTTTGTGGCATTTTAGAGTTTTACTATCCTAAATGCATTCGTACACAGGTTACATTTAGGACGTTATAAACATAGTGACTTTCCCGGTAGTGATAGTTGAGCAGAACAAAAGGAAACCTCCCCACGCACCATGGGGAGGTGCTGTGTGAAAAGCTAAACTATTTTTTTTTCTATATATATATATATATAAAAGTGTTTGTTAACAGAGTAATGACTTCTTAGCCACAGAAACCTGGAAAATTCAAATTATGGTAACATCTTATTATGACCCTTCAATTAATTGCACTTGTATGAATAAACATTTTTTTTTAAATATGTAGATGACTTAACTAGGGAGAGTACACATAGTGGAAAGAGCTGTAGTTTGAGTAGATCCAGTCCCACATGAGGCTAGATCACACTAGCCCAGGCTGCCAGTTAGCTAAGTGACAGTGGGCAGGCATAGTAATTCACCTGAGATTAATGAACCTTAATGGAGTATACATTCCACGCCAGGCACTGTGTCAGGACAGTGTCGCTTAATTCTTCGCTGAAGGTAAGGATTCTGATGGATATTTTTCAGTTCAGTGACCCATGAGTCTATACTTTTAGTATAGGTATGAAAAAGCGATCTTGGAGGAGGATTGGAGACCTATTCATTGTCTTTTGTGGGTTGAATGATCTTATGCATTATTTCTTTTTTTTTTAAAGTTTTTTTTTAAATTTTTATTTATTTATGATAGTCACACACACACACACAGAGAGAGAGAGAGAGAGAGAGAGAGAGAGGCAGAGACATAGGCAGAGGGAGAAGCAGGCTCCATGCACCGGGAGCCCGACGTGGGATTCGATCCCGGGTCTCCAGGATCACACCCTGGGCCAAAGGCAGGCACCAAACCGCTGCGCCACCCAGGGATCCCTTATGCATTATTTCTAAATGACTTTTCACATTAACCCTGTAACGCAGGTACTATTATTTCTATTTTAAAGTTGGAGTTAAATAATGTGCCCCAAGTCACACAGCTAGCAAATGGTACTGTGAGAAATCAGACCTAATTTTTAAGCCCCTTGTTTCTTCACTAATCACATGGCTGCAAGCCAGGGAAATGGTTGTTACTGTTTATTGGGCATCTATTTCAGGTACTGTGCACACTAGGCATTCTTATTTGTGTTTTTAATTTAATCTTCATGGGAAATCAGGCAGCGGGTTTTTTTTTTTAATGTTCTGTTTTGTTTTCCCATTTATTTATTTATTTTTTTTTTAGAGAGAGCGTGAGCGCGTGCGTATGCACACATGTGTGTGCAGGAGAGGGGAAGGGCAGAGGGAGACGGGGAAAGAGAAACTTAAGCGAACTCCACACAGCACAGAGCCTAATGTGGAGCCCGACCTCCATCTCAGGACCCTGAGATCATAACTTGAGCCGAAATCCAGAGTCAGGTGCCTGACTGAGCCATGTAGGTGCCTCAGGTGGTGGTGATTGAATTTACAACTTCAGGATTGTTAAGAAAACAATTTATGGTTAGACCTAATCTGAAGATTATGGTTCTGTTCCTCAAAGGCAAAGAATATGGCCAAATGTTAAAGCATTCAGTAAATATTTGCTGTTGCTGATTATCTATTATAGTGTGCTATGTTTGAACTAGTCTAAATTTTGATGTGACACTTAGCTATAACTCTTCAAAGCTCTGATTCCAAATTCAGTTGCTTTTGACTCTTGATTTTAATGATTTTCATGAGTGGGGGAAAAAAGATACCTCAAGAAGATTCATAGGTCCAAATGGAAGAATCACATCATTGGCGACGTTAGTAACGGTTCAATTCTCAGCAATTCTCTATGCACAAGACTGTGTTGAAATTCCATTCTTCCTTGATCTCATTCAGTTTTCTTGCTATTTAATTAGAAGTTGTTGCATTTTTATATATTAAAAATTAACTTAAAAACCTTTTTTAAAAAACTAAGACTTTTAGATTCACTTGGATAATCTTTTCATGTTTTCAGATCTTTTATAATGTATGTAGATGACTTTAAAAAATAGACAATATTTTTAACATATGTTTCAGTAACAAAATCATGTATGAATGGAAACATTTCCAAATATAATTTTCCAAAATGTCTACTCTATAATGCAAATATCCTTTAGAAAACAGTTTTTCCTTTTTTTTTTTTTAAGATTTTAAAGTATTTTCTACACCCAACATGGAGTTCAAACTCAGAACCCTGAGATCAAAAGTCAGATGCTCTGCCGATTGAGTCAGCCAGGTGCCCTGAAAAGCAGTTATTTTCTCATTATTAAAGTGATATCTTTAACTACCCCCCCCCTTTTTTTTTTTTAGGTCAGGGGAGGGCAAAGGGAAAAGGAGAGGGACCATCTCAGGGAGACTCCATGCTGAGCGTAGAGTCCAACAAAGGGCTCAATCTCATGACCCTGAGATCAGGACCTGATATCAAGAGTCAGATATTTAACCAGCTGAGCCACCCAGGCGCCCCTAAAGTGATATCTTTACTTTAGAAAAGTGAAATGTTTTGTTTTTTGGACTCTCCCTGCTAGGTAGCATATGCTACTGATAGCCATGGATCATCACATAAATCATTAGTATATTTGGAACTCTGTGTGTAGAAGAAAAATGTTTATCTTTAAATTCAACTCTTAAATATTTGGCCATAAGAAAACCAGGAAATCAGGAAGTTATTGTCACATTCTGTCTCTTTACAAAGGTTCTACTGTTTAAAGGTCTATTTTTATTATAATCTGTGCTCAAATAAGTTTCAGTATTCTGGGGATCCCTGGGTGGCGCAGCGGTTTAGCGCCTGCCTTTGGCCCAGGGCGCGATCCTGGAGACCCGGGATTGAATCCCACATCGGGCTCCCGGTGCATGGAGCCTGCTTCTCCCTCTGCCTATGTCTCTGCCTCTCTCTCTCTCTCTCTCTCTCTCTCTCTGTGACTATCATAAATAAATAAAAAAATTTAAAAAAATAAAATAAACATCACAGTACTTTAAAACAATACTTTAAAAAAAAAAGTTTCAGTATTCTGAAATGGAATATCCGAGTATATTTAACTCTTAACATTTCCCCAACGTGGAACTACTGTTCTTCCCTTTGTTCTAATCTGATGCATGGCCTGAGTGACCGTGCCAATGCCCATTTGTCTTCTAAATGTTAGTAGAACTTTTAAAGCTAAAAGTGTGAAAAATTGAATATAGAATGTCTAACTTCTCACATACCTATAGATCATCTGCTAACGCTCTCTGGGATGCATACACCTCACTTTGGCAATTACTACCTTGAAGGGCTTGAAGTGGGAGGGAGGAATAGAATCAAGGGGCCTGAAACTATTCCACAACTCTAGTGGGTTCATACATTCATGAATTCTTTTCCCAAGGAAATGTTTGAACATGCAAAATGTTGAAAGAAGGAAATTATACTGGGTATGAGGTTGCATTTGATGACTTACCTTTTCTAGCTTTCTAAGACTATGACTTTATTCTTATTTTTTTTAATTGAAGTTTTTTCATCAGTTGGGTTTGTTACATTTATTGAGTTCTTAGCATGTGCCACTATGAGGGGCTGGGGGGATATAGCAATAGGTGAAGACCCTTTCTTCACAGAGGTTCAGTATGTCCAGGAGGATAGACATTAAGACATTGAAGCCTTTTAATTTTTACTTAATAATCTTTCTACTGCTTTCTTGCTTACTGGTATATATAGTAAAAATCTTCAGTTTAAGGAATATTGATTACTAATTCTTTGCCAGATGGTGTATTAGACTAGAGTTACCTTTTTCTATGTATATGTGAAACTCATTGATAACTGAAAGCAAAATGGCCTTCAACAGGGTATCTGTTTAGCCAAGTAGGCTGAGATTTTGTCCTATTCATATACTGGCTGTAGTAGATCTTGGGATTTCTCAGA